TGGCAAAGCAACCTAGTTGGTAGTATGCTTGCCTGGAGTGCACAAGGCCCAGTGTCAGCCCCAGCACCAAATAAATCTCCAGCGTGATGCCGCACACCTGTAATCCTAGCACTTGGAAGATAAATGCAGAAGGGTCAGGAACCCAAAGTCATCCTTGGCCACACTAAGTTTGAGGCCAGTGTGCGCTACATGAGACCTTACAGCAACAAAAAAGAGAGGGGAGAAAATACGTGCCAAGTTTTGGGTAGCACCTACCTTACGGAACCCATTCATGTCAGACCTCTGGTCTGTTCACAGACTAGCTAGCATCAAAGGTCTCCCCTAAAATGCCTTCCCTTCATGCCTGGCTTTGCTCAGGAGACGTCAATATCCCCTTATTCTCACCCACTATCACTGAATAGCATCACTAGCTATTCGAGAGGTTGAGTATTGGAAATTCAAGGCCAGCCTCAGCCACTTAGCAAGACCTTCTGTCAAGGTTAAAAAGGTTGAGGATGTATCTTGGTGTGGAGAGCTTGCCAGACGTGTGGGGCCCTAGTTTCTATCTCTAGGACTGGGGAAAGGAAAAAAGTGATTTCCATTTAACTAAAAGTGGCTGATTTAGACCAGTAGATGGTTTGGCAGGAGAAGCACCTGCCATCAAGCGTAATGCCCTGAGTTCAATCCTTAGTACCCACACCATCTCGTCACCCTCAGACCTCCACGTGAACAGTACCACATTCATTCTCTCCCATACACATATCCAAACACACAAAATAAATAATTTTTTCTTCAGTTGACATGGTAACTCATACCTTTAATCCTAGCACTCTGTGGTAGAGGCAGTTGGATCTCTGTGAATTTGAGGCCAGCCTGGTCCATGTTGGGAGTTCTAGGCCAAGCAGGACTACACACGTATCAGGTCTCATCAGCCAATCTAGAGCCCACAGGTGACCAAAGAGGGGAATGAGTGGCTCAGCACAAACCCAGAAACTTAAATCATGAGCTTTCTCGTGTGTGATCTTTTGCCAGTGGGGAGGACTAGCTGTCTTGCGCAGTCCTTCTGTGTGTCCTTGTAGAAGACAGTGTTGTGTTGCAGTGTCAGAGGGCTGGAGAAGACAGAGTCTCGACTTTGATGAAATAAGATATTGAACTTGATACCAACCTAGCTGTCTCCTCATCCCTCTCTCCTTCTTTGTCCTTTTCTCTGACTGGGTCACAGCCCTCTTGGACAAGGCTTTACCCAGACGTCTGTCTTCAATCCCTAGAGGGCATCGGAGGGCCTTGTCCCTCCCAGGGAAAGTCATGGTTTACTTCTGGCTCATCTTGTATCACTCCTGCGAGCAGCTGGCCCATGCTCTCTGCCCACTTTCTTACTGCTCATGTAGGTTTCTAGCTTGGCTTGAGGACAAGATGGGTTGCTTTCCAAGAGCAAGAAAACAAGGCGGCATGGAGAAAAGAGGAAGCATCAGGTAGCAGAAGAGAAGTGCCCGCTGGGACTAGACAGGCCAGAACCCAGAGTCTGACTGTGTCCCCTGTCCCCACCAGGTGTTTCTGCATGAAGCCACTGTGCGCTTGATGGCAGGAGCCAGCCCCACCCGGACACACCAGCTGCTGGAGCATAGCCTGCGGAGGCGCACCACTCAGAATGCCAAGCATGGTGAGCGCCCGGTGTGGCCTTGCACTGGGGAGCAGAGAGGACAGAGCCCCAGCATCTGGCAGGGCACTTCTTCATACTTCTTGACTGTCTGGGCTCCTTTGTGGGGTGGGAGCGGGGGCAGGGTGAGAGGAACAGGTATGGTCTTAGCTGGAGTAGGCGTCATCCCGGTGCGAGAGCAGGGTAGAAGTTGCATGGGTTCTAACCCCTCAGCCCGCACAGTTGCCAATTCTTGTAGGGAGAAGGCAGAACACACCTCCTCACAGGATGAGGGCGTGAGCGCAACAAATGAGGCCACATAAAGTCCTTGGGACAGTGCTTACATAAATCTCATTCCCACAGGAGAGGTAGACACCTGGCCTGGCCAACGAGAGCGAGCTACTGCCATCCTGCTGGCCTGCCGCCATCTTCCCCTCTCTTTCCTGTCTTCCCCGGGCCAGCGGGCAGTGCTGCTGGCTGAAGCCGCCCGCACCCTGGAGAAGGTGGGTGACCGCCGTTCCTGCAATGACTGCCAGCAGATGATTGTCAAGCTGGGTGGCGGCACTGCCATCGCTGCCTCCTGACCACGTCTGGGACTTGGTCCACCTCTCTCCACCTTCATCCCTTTCTCCCAGGATCTTCCCTCTGTCTCCCAGACTGTCTCCCCATCTGTTTTTCTCCCTCCTCCAAGAGCTGTGAGGATGAAGGCAAGACTGATTTTCTGAGCTGTTACCTACCGAGGCTTTTGGATCATTTTAGGCCAGTAGGACCATGGGCAGAGCTCCTTAAAACTGTTGTGGTAAATCCATGGTCTAGGCCCAGGTGGGCCGAGAAGAAAGATGGCCTAAGCAAGAACGGGGCGATCTCCTCACTTGAAAGCAACATGGGGTGCTGCCAAGCCCCTTCCCCAGCCCCCTACAGACTGTCTCCCTTTCTGCCTCTTTGTTTTTTTTTTGTTGTGTTTCAGTTTTTCCGTTTTTATTTTTTCAGCCGGCTTTCTCTGGGAACTAGGTCTCTGTGCACCAGAGAACATTTTGCATTCTGGCCTTGTCTGACATGCCCCTTTTTATACAAATGTTTTTATATGTGTGTGCTTGGGCCTGCCGTGAAGCAGGGCAAAGTTGCTGTGGCATCTTTCTTTCTCTGTCTGGGCCTGCATTTGCTCCCCTGGGCCTGACTAAGGCTGTTCATTGTCTTCTCATCATTACAGGGACAGCCAGGGACGGAAGGGAGCCCAGCCCTGGGGAGGTGGGTGGGAGGCAGGGGCAGGCCTAGGGAGGGATAAAATAATGTTGGCATTGTTTTTAATTTTTTAAAAAATAAACGGTATCTTATTTAATTGTCCTGTTCCTTCCCACTCCTCCACCCCGAGATGGCAGCCTGAGCTCAGGGTAGGCCCAAGGGGCTGGCCAGGATGAAGCCACCATTGGGCCTAAGGTCCAGGGGTCTTCAGCATGATTTATTTGTTCCTTCCTACCCCCACCCTAACTCCTGCCTCCCAGCTAGGATATTTTTATCCCTAATTCCTGTCTGTGAAGAAGCCAGGGTGGCAGTCACTGGTCCCAAAGCTTCCCCAGCAACGAGCCTCTCTTTTCAGGGTAGGTGGCAGGAGTCGGGCCTCCTGCCTTGAGATGGGGGGGGAGGTAGGAAGAAGAGTGGCTCAGGGCTTCCTGAGAGACTTGAGAGGAGTCCTCCCTCCTTGTGCTCCTCATCCCTTCAAGCTGGTCGAAGCAGAGAGTAGGTGGAGGCAGGCCCTTCCTATGCTTGGACCCCACCTATTCTATCTTCCGCCTCTCCCCTGCTATCACTGTAATTTATGGCCCCTGCCGAAGGGGCAGCCCAGCCCTTGTGTCTTGTGTATATACTGTGCCTTTTCTCCTTGTTGAGGGGTGGGAGGGTGTTGTTTTTTTTTTGTTTTTTGTTTTTTGTTTTGTTTTTTTTGTTTTTGTTTTTTTTTTTTTTCACTGAACAGGGGATACACCTATGTCTTCCTTGATGTTGAAACATTCACCATGTGCTGGACATAGGTTATTCAATAAACACAGATTGGTGCCACCTAACACAGTGTTGTGTGAGTCTGTAGAACGCCCACTATGGTGACTTAAACAGATGACTGCATAATTTGGCCAGCAATGAGCTAGGAACTGAGGGCAGCCAGATAGCTTCAGTCTGGTGGTCTTTTCTTGCTCACAGGTGCACCTGACACACTCTAGAGGTTGGTGAGGGGCTGGGATAAAAGAGCTGTCTCCAGGTTCCCGCTCCTGGCCAGGCCATTCAGCTGGTGAGCTGGTTGGCAGTGGCAGTTCTTTGGAACTCGGGGTGTGAAGTCACTCCTCTACCAGGTGGGCCGTTCCTTCATTTCCATTTCCTGTAGGCAGGGCCCTCCTAAGCCCTTCACGGTGTGCTGGCCACATCCAAGTATGTGCCTGCATTTCCCAGCTGAGTCACTCTGGTGAACTGGCCCCTCAGCATCACAGGCTTACTGCTCAGAGGGAGCCATGGCACAAGAAGTACCAAGAAACAAACAGCTCTGACCTCACCCTTTCCTGAAGGGCATCAACAGCAGGTCACACTGCCTAGAGGATCAGGGTGGCCGGGAGGTCCACCTGCAGCACATTGACTCCCATCAGCATTCAGTAGTGGCCACTCTGGTGGCCTCAGCCTAGTCCCAGTGAAGAGCTAAGGCTCTTGAGCAGAAAGGTCATGCCAACCCCAGCACAGTCCCATCAAGACCTGAGTGACCCTGGGCAAGGTACTCGGGTTCCAAAACCTTAATTACTTTATCTGCAGGCAGCCCTGTAGGTCTCTCAGGGTTAAATAAGAAACAGCAACAAATGTGGGCTATTGTTCAGACAGTGTGCCACCCCTGGCAACACAGGAAGTGTTGGTGAGGTCCTGTGCCTCTCCTGCCTGTAGCCAGGATATCCTCGCACATACCGGAACAAGGAACTGAGGAATGTGGGGAAAATGCAAAGAGGTGCTGACAGTACCTGGGCCTCAGCCAGGTGCTGGGAGCCTCTGGCAGGAAGGGGGAAGCGAGCTGGCAGCGCCAACCCTGTGCAGCCGGGGCACCCCAAGGGAGGGGCACCGCAAGGTTCCCATTCCAACATCTCCATCCCCCTTGCCCCAGGGCAGCTCCCGCGAGGAGCCTGAGGAGCCTCGCCTCGTCTATGCTGAGCACCAGATGTCCGTGTGGCCCACACCCATTAGGGGGGTGGCCCCGGGCCAATCTGGCCAGGCAGCCAGCAAGACAGGAGCAGGCCCAGGGCCAGGCCGTGTCAATGAGGATCAGCCAGGCTGGACTAACTCAAACTGTTGAGTTAGAGATCGGCCGCGGGGTGGAGAGGGGCTAGCTTCCGGTAGACCACATGGACCCCCAAAGGGGGATAACAGGCCCAGTCCTCCTTCCCCCCCACCAACCCAGACCTTAGGACGCCCGTGACTCCATTTGCTCCGAGCATTGTTGGCCGTTCAACCCAGCCGCCCTCTCTGGCCACTCCTCTGTACAGACAACGACTGATGTTGCCCTCGGGACAGAAACCACATTAAGAGGGTTTATTTACACAGGTGAGGATAGCCCTACATTCCCAGAAACACAACACCTGGCCCTACCCTTCCGGCCCCTTAGCCACAGGCTCCACATGTCCCGCCTGGGGGTCCCGGGACCCCGCAGAAGGCTCCGGTGGTTCCGCTTCAGACAGTGACCTCAGCTTTGCTGTTGGTGCTCAGGTGGCGGGGCCCTCTGCCCACGCCGCCGCCGCCGCCGCCGTAAAAGCCGCCGGGCTGCGCGCTGAAGGCCTCGGGCAGCTTCTCCACGCTGAACGGACGCCGCGGCGCGTGGCCGGGTCGCCGGGGGGCAGGAGAGACCTGAGCCACCAGATGGCTGCGGGGGACCGGCCGCGTGGGGCGGCCCGCGGTCCAGGCCGCGTAGGGGACCGACGAGACCGGGCCGGCGGGAGGTACGTAACCTGGGGGGGCCCAGGGACAGGCTTCCAGCAGCGCAGGCAGGTCCTCCGGAGGCCGCGGGGCCCGCGCCGGGAGGGTCCGCGGGGTCTCGGTAGAGGGAAAGCGCTGATAGAAGTCTTGGGGCGCGGCCTCTGCGGTGGGGGCGGGGCGGGGAGGGGGTCAGGAGGCGCAGCACCTGCTTTAGGTGACAGGGTGCAGCGGCCTAGGGAGGGAGCCGGTTGGCCGCATGGGGACGTCCCGGGCCCCGATTGGCCTAGCCGGAGGTGGGGAAGGTGGTAAAGCCTCCGGGGAGCCGGCAACATGCACCTCACCTGTGGCCTTGAGCGCAGCCGCTTTGAGGGTAGCGAACTTGGCGTAGTCGGGCTGCAGGGTGAGGCTGCCACCGCCCTGCAGCCGCGGGCCGCGCGGAGGTCCCGGGGCGGCGGAGCCCAGTGGCGCGTTATTGAGGCGTTTCTTGTCTGGAGGGGAGAGCGGGGTGCGAAGAGAAAAAGCTGAGCCTGCACCGCCGCTCCTCGACGCACTCCTTAGGGGATGGCTGGCTCTCCGGAAGGTCCCGGTTTGGCTCAGAAAAAACATGGATGGCTGCGGCACGCTCCAAGGGGTGCTACCCTAACGGATGGCTCTCCAGCTAGCAAGGTGCTGACTCCCTGGACCGCTCCCCACGGAGATGGAGGGGCACTGAACCCCAGGACGGTGTAGACGGTGGGGGCCAACCACCACGCAAGACCAAGAGGTGGGTTCCAGGCCACAAACCAGAGCTTCTGAACCTCAGCACGTTCTGAATCTGGAACCTTTCTCACAGACAGCGTCGTCGCCCAGGAGACGACAGGACGGTTCCTCTCCACCATGGGCTCGGCCAGACCCCGGTCACACTCCCCGCACAGGCAACCACTCATTTCCACACGGTGGGCAGGGTCGCCCTTCACGCCCCAGCCAACCCATCAACTCTCCCCCTCCCATCTCCCTTCCCTCCAGGCCCGCCTGGCCATAGCCGAGCCATCTACTACCCACTCACCTGTGCTGTCGTGGGGGGAGCCCCGAAGAACGCCATCACCCATTTGTACCTGGACACAGTTACCCAGGGGGGGACCCAGAGGTGGAGGCAGCGGTTCCTGGGGGCTTGGCTGTTTGAGAAGTTCTGTCAGTGTTCTGTGGAGACCGAAAAGGTGTTGAGGAGAGGACTCGCAGACCCCGCCCCCTCCATCGGCCAGATTCTACCTAACCTCACCACTGCCCCACTCTGTACTGTTGTTATTTTTTTTTTTTATGCGTTTTTGTCTGAATGCATGCCTGTGCACCACGTGCATGCGCGGTGCCCTCGGAGGCCAGAAAAGGACATCAGGTTCTTGGAACTGGGGTTACAGACGGTCTAAGCCAACGGTTCTCGCCCCTCCTCATGCTGTGACCTTTTAACACAGTTCCTCGTGTTGTGGTGATCCCTGACCAACCATGAAACTATTTTAATTGCTACTTCATAACTGTAATTTTGCTACTGATACAAAGGGTAATGCGCATGTCTGTGTTTGCCGATAGTCTTCCGGGACCCCTGTGAAAGGGTCATTTGACTTCCCCCAGGGGTCATGACCCACAGATTGAGAACCCCTGTCCCAAGACCCCAGTCCTCTGGGAAAGCAGCCAGCGCTCTTAACCTCTGAGCATCTCTCCAGTCCCCCACAGTCTCACTTCATATTTCTGGGCAGTTCTTTCAAGCCCTGAGCCTCCCTTCTGTTCTTTCTGTAGTGACTGACTTCAGGGATCTCATTTCCCCTACCAGGCATGACCTTGTCAGCCTCACCTGTGGCCCCAAGATGGCCACCTCCCAAAGCAGGTCAGGAGACTAATGAGGTCATATGTAACGAGGGCCGGGCCGAATTGTGTTCCTGAGGCTCCTTCCTGGAGTTCACTCTCCAAGACCCTCCCCACTGTGCGTCCTGTCCCAATGCAGCTCCCTGCGTCCAGTAACCTTTTTCTTCATCTCCTTCCATTCTCTTGTTCGTTCAAATGCTACCAGAGTCCCTCCTCTGAGGTGTCCCTTACCTGCACTCTGCAGTGTGGGCTTCTGCAGGGCCTGGGGCCTAGCTGGCACACGGACAAGGGAGGCAGACGAGAAAAAGAGGGGAGCCACGGAGATCTCTCCCTGACAGCCCGACACCAAAAAGCTGTGTGACCTTGGGCAGCTGCCTTCCTGGGTACCCACAGCACCCAGCCCCCACCCAGCTGTGACAGTGCCTGACTGAGCCTTCCCCATAGGCAGCCTTCAGCCCAGCTGCCTGCAGCACCCAGAACCCATGATTTTCCTCCCCCTCGGCCCGACCCTCCTTCTGGGAATGGGTAACGGCTGGTAAATGAAGAGGCACACTGGAAGACACCTGAGGTGGCAAAGTATCAGCAGCGGGGTCTAAAGGCATCTGCAGCCCGCCCAAGATGGCCTCTGGCTTCCCATCCTCAGTGGCTCCCCGCCAGTTATCCTGTCTCTGGGCAAACACTGATTCCCAGTTCTCTGAAGTAGAAGGTGGACTCATGCCTCCTGAGGGCCCTTTCACAGACTCTCTCCCGCCTGACTCCAGTCCCCTCCAAGCCCACTCAGAAGCCTTCCCTAAGCCATCAGCATGGCAGATTTAGAGAGAAACAGGGGTTCGGAACACACCCACCTAGGAGTGCAGAGAGTCGAGGCAGCTGGCTATGGGCACACAACCAAGCAGGAACTTAACAAGTGGGGTGATGGAAACGAACAGGGCATCTGCAGACCAGACCAGCCACCCCTACACCACAAAGGGTCTCTGGGCCCCCACTGCCTCTCTGATCTCCCCGCCGCTGCCTTTGGCCTGCACGAAAGATCCCAAATACTGAGGCTGGGCTTCTGCCTCTGCAGCTTTCAGAAGCCTCAGCGACATTCAGAAGCCTCAGCCACTCAGTTCAGTGGCTCGAAGGAAACACAAGGTCAAGGCCCCACTCCTGACCTCCAGCTGTCTGGAAGACATGAGCTAAACGGTTCTTTCGCTCTGACCCTGAGACATCCACATCTTGCCCACCAGGTCAGGGGGTGGGGGGTGGCCTCTTCTCTCTATGGTCACATCCGGTTGCAGCCTGTTGCATTTGGTGTCATGCCCCACGGGGCTGGGTGTCTAAGCAGCGCAGGGGATTTGTGGGGAGAGGGGGAGCGCTTAAAAGGAAGTCGTGAGTGGGAGCTCCAGAGTCAGGACGGCTCTCAGCATTCCCATTCCGCCGAAAACTCAAAATAAGCTCAAAACTTAGCCAGCGCCTGGCAGGTCTCTGAAACACGCAGGTCTATCTATCCCCACCGCACGAGACCCATTCTGAGCAGCTGGATAGCCAGACCTGTGCCTAGGGGTAATGGGGGGGGAGCTTCTGAAACTCCAAGGAATGAAGGTCAGGTTTGAGTCACGCTGGGTTGGGGAAATGGATGGAGGTGGGAGATGCTGCAGGAGAACCAGCCGGGGCACCTCGCCCTTCTCTAGGCCCAAGACCACTCTCAACACTGCCCCAGTCCGTGGCCCCTCGCCTGGACGCCGAATTTTTGTCTCCTGCAGAGGAGGTCAGAGCCCCAAGGAGGACGACGACGACCCCAGAGCCCAGTATAGGCAGGGAAGGTCCGGGAGGGGGGGAGAAGGCTATCAGGTGTGTCCCTCTGTGAAGCGGTGGAGGCGGGGGAGAAGGGGAGACGGAGACCCAGAAGAAAAACAACCAAAATCAAAACAAAAAGGAGGCTGTCGAGAGCCCTCGGTCTTAGAGGGAGTCGAAGGGGATGCGGTCGCCGGGAAATTTGGAACCGGCAGGGGACGGCGAGGCCGTGGCCGGCGGGGCGGGAGGGCGGGCGCGCTCACCTGGTCACCGTGCGCCGAGCGCGCGGGCTGTGCGCCCTCTCCAGGCCCAGGCGCGCCCCGATGCCGCCCAGCACGAGGAGCGCGGCGACCCCGCACACGGCGTAGACCGCGGTGTGGCTGCGCTCGCGGGCCGGGTCGCGCGGGGCGGCGGGGTCGCGGGCGCGGGCGGGGGGCCGGCCGGTCTGCACCCAGGCCGGCGTGTCGTAGTTGGAGCAGCGGCTCTGGTCCAGGCGGCGCGGGCCGTCGTGGCAGCAGAAGCGGTAGCCGCACGTGCCGCAGCAGAAGCTGTAGACGCCCGAGCTGCAGTTGAAGGGCGGGTCCCACTGGCCCATCACGTCGTAGTAGCCGCGGCAGCGGTCGCCCCCCGCCGGCGCCGCGGTCCCGGACGCCGCGGGCTCCGGCGCCTCGGGGGCCCCCGCGCGGCCCGACGGCGACCCCACCAGCAGCAGCGCCAGCCGCAGCGCGAGCGGGAGCCCGGGCGGGCCCCGGCCGCCGCGCCGGCCCCTCACTCCGGGGCGCTCCATGCGGCCCGCTCCTCCTGCTACTGCGCCCCGCGCATGGCTCGGGCGCGCGGCCGCTCGGCCCGGCTCTCCCCCGCGCCCTCCGGGACCGGGGGCTCCGCCGCCCGCGCTGGCTCCGGGCCGACGCCTCCCGGTGCGTCCCCGGCTCCGGGCGCCGGTGAGTTCCGTGGGGGGCTGCGCGGGGCCGGACCTCCGCTGGGCGCGCCCTCCTCCCGGGCTCACCTCGGACTGCTCGCCGGGCAGCCGGGCGGCGGGTGCTCGCCTGCACCGTCCCCGGCGCTCGCTCTCTCGCTCTCTCTCTGGCCCCGGCGGGCGTGCGGGGCCTGGGTCTTGCGGGGACTGCGCTGGGCGGCGGATCGCCGGACACCGCTGCCTTCCCGCCGCCCGCTCCGCGGTGCCCGCGCTCTGGCTCCGGCTCCGGCTCCGGCGCGGGCTCGGCGCGGGCTCGGGGCGGGCGGGAGAGGGAGCGAGGGGAGGAGGGCGGGAGGGAGGCAGAACCGGGGGAGGAGCGCAGCCGAGGCGCCGGCAGGGAGGGGTTCTGTGGGGCCAGGGCAGCGGGCGCGCCCCTCCAGGGACCCTCTTCATGGCCTCCCTCAAACTGCCGGGATTGGGCCCTCGAGGGTGTCCAGCCTAAAGCTCTGGGGACTCGGATCTTGGCGGCCTTGCATGAGCAATTCCCCGCTTTTTAAGTAAGTGGAGAGGCACAGAGATCAAAGCAGCCTGGAGTAGGCCAGGAAGAGTCGCCCCCACCCCCCAAACACACACCCACCCACCCACCCACCCACACACACACACCCACACCCACACACACACCCCATACACACACACACACACACACACACACACACACACACGCAGGCAGACAGGTCCCAACATTCCACCCCTCCAACTGTTCTGATCGGGACATGAGTGAAGAGGGCATCTCCCCTTCTACAATAAGGACCCCCAGTACAAAAATGGCCGAGAGTCAGATCTTGAGCAGCTCCTCTCTGGTCTGTCCTGGAGCATGCACCCTGATTCCAAAACATTTGGAATTTGGCAGGAGTCCCGAGAGGTCCCATTTCTGGGCACAGCCTGGCCAGAGCCCTTAAGAGGTCTGCCCACCTCCCCGGCCTCTGCCTCTGAAGGTTGTGAGGGGTTGCCTCTCCCTGCCCCAGCTACTACTGTTAACCTCAACGCTTCCTGGTGACCTAGCAACCCTGAAGACTTGGGAGGTTCAAGTAGGAAGACCATTTGGGCCCACAACTTTGACCAGCCTGGGCAACACAGTGAGGCCGTCTCATGAAGCAAACAGAACAAAGCCTCGTTGCGTCACACCCCTAAGGGTGAAGCAGGAAGATTGCTTGAGGTGAAACTGGTTTAAATCAGGGGCTCTCCACCTCTTCCTGACAATGTTACCCTTTCACATAGTTCTTCAAGTTGTGGTGGACCCCAACCGCAAAATTGTTCTGTTGCTTCACCACGATTGTAATTTTGCTACTGCTCATGAATTATAATGGAAGTGTGTGTGATGTTTGGGTATCTGATAGGCAACGCCCAGGCTGAGAGCCATGGTCTACATGGTAAGCACCAGGCCAGCCAAAAAGCTAGCAGTTTGGTTTTGGTAGTGCATACCTGTGCATTTGAGGATTTAGGAGTTCAAGACCAGCCTGAACCACATGAACCCCTATCTCAAACAAAACAAAATAAAACAAAAACAACCTCTCTCCTCCAAAGAAAAGAAAAGAAAAGAAAAAACAGTGAAATAAAGCAAGGCCTTTTCCTGAAGGGCGGATTCATAATCCATTCCTTCCTGGAGGTAGAGATTACCTCTTGCTGTCCAGATGCAGACACCAGGAGGACAAGGACTAGGTTTCCAATTCACTCCGGTGTCCCTCTGTCCCCAGCACAGCTCGGGTGCCTGTCAATATTTGCTGAACAGAAGAGAGAAATGATACTTGCTTCTAACCCCTGCCTGACGAAGACTCTAGCCAGCCCAGGGTCTTTTCTTCTCCCTCTCCGCCCCTCCTTCTTCAGAGCCCGGAATCAGCTTATGAGAGTGGAGGGTACGGTGGAGGAAGAGGCAGGATTTACATCCTAAGGAGGATCAAGTCCTTCTGTTTGGCGAGATGAGGGGCTGGCAGGCGAATGTCAGGTATTAGTGGGTTAATGTTGGGAGGAGGGCAACCCCCCTCCCAGGCTGTTTCCATTTACCCTGGCTAAAAATGACCCGTCCCCTACCTGTGCACCAGCACATGCCCACTCGACGCCCATACAGTCCTGAAGAGCCCCATTCCCATAAAAAGACGTTTCTCTGTCGTCATTTAGAAGGGGTGGTGTGTATGGGGGGACAAGATGGACAGAGACATGGAGTGCTTTAATCTCATCACCGGGGGCACCCCACCACGGGGCGTATCACACTGCACAGACTATGTCGTGACTGTTTCTGAGTTGGGGTTTTGTTGCTCTGATCAGAACTCCCTTCCGAGATAGCTGCACTCTCCGACACATCTTTCTCTGCTCCCTTCCCTGGCTTTCCTAAGGATGGGATAAGGGCCACCAACTGTGCTGTGTGTTGTTAGGCTCCTGTCACTCTGCTGAGCTATCTCAGGGTTGCGGGGATTCTGAGGGCACCCTCTCTCCACCCCCATCTCCAAGCAGTGCTTTGGAACTGTGCCGTCTTCCTGTGTTCAGAGGGTCTCCTGTGGGCCTCGCCTCTTCTTCTGGGACCTTCTCTTCCCCCGCTGTCTCCCCATTTGCTCAGCACCGACCTCATGCTGCAAATACCTGTCGTGTGGAGGGATTCCATCGGTCCAGCGAAGGGACTGATTCCAGCTCCCGATCCCATGCAGGGACTCATTCCAAACTCCCCCAGCTCTCTCCCCATCTTAGCCTGATTCTGTGGATTCTGTGGCGTTCTACCAACTACAGGGGCTGCGCCAAACACTCTATGCCTGTGTGCACGGCTGGCCGCATGGTGCTGGGGTGAGGGGCAGAGGGGGAGAGTGGCTACTTTGTTCCGGGTCTGGCCACCCCCGAAGCTGATGCTCCCACTCCAGGTTCGTGACCACGAGCTGGGCTAGGGGTCTAGAAATAACACAACCCAGCAAGGGAGAGCCCCCTGGACCCTGGACCCCAGGGTCTCTGGTCACAGCAAGGCTCTAGGGACCTGCCCCCTGTCTCTTCCCCTCCAAGCCTGTGTCACCAAAAAATCGTCCATTGATCCAGTCTTAAAATAACCCCTGGCATCTGCAGTGAGCCCCACGGGGCGGGCAAGAGGAGCCAAGTGTCTGCCTGAAGGGCACCCGCCCCGCCCCCAGCTCCCAGCGCTGGCAGCTAAGTGTGTAAGTGTGTAGGCAGTGTCGGTGTCGGAGAGCGCTCTTGGGTGTGCGTGAGAGAGTGTGAGCTGGGGGCAAAGGTGACTCCCAGGGCCTTCCCAGAACTGTGGGTTTGCACGGGCATTTCGCTGCCAAACTCTGGCTTGTGGGATCCTGGGGGCTCCTGAAACTCTACGGACGATAGCAAAAGCTGATATTGGGCCTCCTGTCCTTATCTTAGGGGTGACCAGTCTGCCGCTCTGTACATCTGTGGACAGGAAAGGTTGGGAATTGACTAGACGGGAAACCTAAGAACAGGAGAGGGGAAGTGATTGGCTAAGGATGCCACACAGCCAGACAGGGCGGGGGTCTGGCCTGGAGCCGTACTGTGAGCCCCAGGTTACAATTCCTACTCCACGAGGGCCCGTCCATCTTGCTAGACCTCAGTTTTCTCATCGGGCAAGATGGGCAGCTAGCAGCTCTCCACAGAGACACCAGGAGAAGCTGAAGGGCCTGACTGGAAACACCCGGCACAGCAGCCTGCTGGGAGCGCCCCTACAGAAGGTAGTGAGTGACCTCAGGTGCTGCTCCGTTCAGAAGGTGACTCCTAAGCTTGGCGTCTCTCCTTCAGAGGTTCTAGGGACGTTGGGCTCCCTGTCACTGCAGATGCGGGCACCAGGAGGGGGTCTGGAGGGAGGGCCCTGGGCTGCCTTTGTCTCCTGAGAGGCAGCTCGTGACTCAGGCTCCAGCTGCCTGTGGGAGGGAGGGGGCGATCGGGCTCCTGAGGTCTCAAGGGAGCAGCAGGATTGGGGGGCTGGGCGCTGAGACTCAGCCTGCCTTCCCCAGTCTTCAGGCACCGCATCCCGGGGCCTTTGCCCTTCCACGCTCAGCTACACCGCCCCCCCCGCCCCCCCGTCTGTTTGCACCCACTGGGTTAGTCCCCCTCAGGAGCCTCCAGAGGCGGGAGCTGGTGAGAACAGGACTAGGTGGTTTAGACAATGCAATGCGGCCACCAGGTCCTCGTGCCTTGGGGGCAGCTCTGAGTCAGCTCAGAACGTGGGGTGTCCTGATTGCCCTCGTTTGCACAACATCCGAAAGTGTGTGATGGCTCACACCCAGGCCCCTCTTGCTTCAGAAGCAGTCAGCTGAAGGCGCGTGAAGACGGGGACCCCTCACGAAGAGGGCTGGTAGGGACACTGGCGTCTGTAGCTCAGCAGCAGAGAGCGGCTTACTGTGCCCAAGGGGTTCCATCCTCCGCACCATGAAAAGAAAACAAGCAGCGAACACCATGGCTTGTAAGGGAAAGACCAAATCAGGAGTTCAGGGCCGACCCCGGCCAGGATTACTAGAGACCGCAAGATAAACTCAGCCTTTTATCTGTCTCTGTCCTTGGCCTTGCCTCTAGCCACACCCCTTTCCTGCAATGGGGCCTGCGCCTCAGCCCCGCCTCTCCTTGACCCCGCCCCAGGCCCGGCCGGTCCCTCCATTCCTACCCAGCGGCTGGTGGTCAGGCTCTGACCTCCGGACCTGCGCAGACTGACTTTCTCCCACCACGGAGGCACCTCCCTGACCTGGATGTAGAACTGGGGGGCTCCAGAGTCTCTAAAGTTCAGGGATCCGTCCTGTCCCGCCCCTCCCCCTAGCTGCAACGTCTGCGGAGTCTTGGGAGGATGACAGCTGGGTGGTCTTCAGGCGCCCTTTTGTTTTGTTGTTGTTGTTGTTTGTTTTTAAAGACAAAGTCTCATGAACTCGATATGTAGCTGAGGATGGCCTTGAACTCCCGATGTTCCTGCATCTATCTTCCAAATGCTGAGATTACAGGTGTGAGCCACCATACCCCATACCCCATTTTACGCAGTGCCGGCGGTGAAACTAAAGAGCTTCCAGGATGCTAGGCAAGCACTCTACTAAGGGAGGCTTAGTAGATCCCAGCCAGGAGCCTCCCTGGAAGATTCAGAAGCAGGCCTTGAGTCATGCCACCGGCTTCTAAGGACCGGGCTGTCTGGGTCCACCCCTGCCGATAAAGAGTCGGTGGGGGCGTGGTGGGCCAGCGTGCCTTCCTCTTTGGCCCCACCTCCACCTTGAGCCCCCCAACCCTGGAGCTGCCAAGCAGGAAGTGAAAACGGCCTGCAGGAAACACCAAGAGGAACTGAGACTTCAGCCCTCTGTCCCCACCTGTTGGTCCCCAGGGACCCCGGGGAAACCAGACCCTCCAAAGGAAAACCCAGACAGAAGCAGGCTATGGGGCGTCCTGACAGCTTCCTCCCGTTCCCATTTCATCCAGGGTGCCTTCCAGAACCTACCTTAAGCCAAAAATAACTCCGAAGACAAGAGCCTTGATGGAAACAAGGGGAGGGGTCCGGCCTTAGTGCCTGAGCCAGCCACTCTCAGGGACCTAGCTGGGGTAGGTGACCCTCTGTTGGGCAGGTATACCAGGTAGGGGTGGGAACCCCCCCCCCCAATTAAGCTCAGCCCATCACTAATTGTGATCTGTGTCTGGAACCATGTAATCACCTGTGGGTGTGAAATCAGTCCAGCTATCAGAAAAGTGGCGCCACCCACAGAGGTCATTAGAGAGGTCAAGGCCTTCGTCACTGCCATCCTTCTGGAAACAGAGACCATGCACGCATGCAGCGGAGCTTTCTGCAGAAACTTCTGTGCTTGCTTATGCCCGTGCCACCAGCACAGCCCACAAGGGGCCAGATGCACAGATGGAAAAGTTGACAACTGTCGAAAAGCCCAAATGGGAGTGTTTAAAGACAGAAACCTACTGTATGTGACTGCCAAGAGGGGACTTAAAGGAAGGGGGGGGGGCTTAGTGGACACTTGTGGAAGTCAGGGGGCAACTTGTGGGAGTCAGTCCTCTCCTTCCACCTCGTGGGTTCGAGGATCACACTCGGGCTACCAGGCACGGCAGCAAGCCCCTTTGCTCCGTGAGCCATCTTGGCCCAAGATGGGAACTTCTAGGTGTGCAATGATTATAGTGACGGGACAGTACACCCGGCCCACGGAGCTGGTGCACTGGGCCACGGTCAGCTCTCCTCAGCCTCCACCCTAGACCATCCTGACCCACCTTCCAGCTCAGGAGCCGAATGAGCATCTTGATTTATGTTTGATAATTTTTTTTTTTTTTTTTAGCCAAACACAAGTCCCTTCCCCCCTTCCAGGTGTTGTTCCAGAGATGAAGTGCGGAAATGGACACAAAGACTCCTTAGAGATTAACACCTACAGCAAAGAGAGCAGGGACGGATGGTGCTGATTTCATTGCCTGGCAGTGTAGCCCTTGGAGGAGGGGACACTGTCGCTGCCCCTTGTCCCCTTCCATTTGCTCTTCCTGGCTTTCCCCAATGGCTTCCTTCTTGTTGTTTACGATGACAGTTGTGACAGGTCTGGTCCCTAGCTAGGCCTCAGTTTCCTCATCGGTGAAATGGGAGCAGCGTGTGAGACTTCTCTCAGGTTCCTTCCAGCCCTCCTCTTGTCGAGGGGCCAGAGACGAGAAAGAGAACTTTGTGCCCATCCCCCAGTCCTCAAAAGAAACTGAGACTGAGGAAAGCCGTGTACCAACCAGATGAGGTGAGATGTGAGAGGTGCCAAATGTTTGTGTGCCGCCCTACGGAGGTTTTAATAGCCCTTTTCACCTTCAGAGCCTAGGCCCTGGCTATAGCTGATACAGGTGGCCTGGGGCAACTCAGCAGCCCTCCAGCACAGCCCCAGGCTAGAGTGGACGGCAATGGCCTGCCTAACGCCAGACGCCTGACGCCTGACACCTACTGTTGCCATCTGATCTCACCCTACCCCTGGAGAGAGGGGCATCTGGGTCCCGGAGGCTCTAAATGCCACTGGGTAGCCTGATCTAAACTAGAAAAGGAAGAGAGTGGACAGGAGGGTCAAGTGCTTCCAGGCAGCTATGGTGGGCTCAGAGAGCCTGGCAGCCAGGGCCAGAACTAAGCCAAGACCGTGCGGAGGGTTTCCGCTCTGACTCCCAGGTCACGGCTCCTTCCAGCAGAGGCCAAATGGCGAGAAGTTCCAACAAGCTAGAGTTCAGCTTCAGCGTGAGGAGAAGGGCAGGCGGGGGACATACATGATGGCTGCTCGTGGGCGCACAGTGTGCCCCGGAACTGGATAGAGAGGATTGGTGGCTCCAGAGCAGAGAGCACCACCGTCAGGGGACAGCTTCCACAGGGGTGGTGGTGAGCCCAGGGCTGGTACAAGCTTGGCTCAGAAAGGCCAGTTCAAGGGGAGAACAGTCCACAGAGCGAACACTGCTTCAGAGCCACAGGCCTGCCCAGGCCTCTCTCTGAAGGAGTGTCCTATAGGTCACTGCCCGGCACACTGCTGAGCGGGCATGCCCCCTGGGGATGGGACAGCTGAGCTCCAGGTGGTCTCTCGGGGAAAACACCGCCAGAGTGCTCCTTCAGCCTAAGACTACAGACCTCCCTGCCTTTGAATCACGGTGAGCTAGAAACTGCCATCGCCGTGAAGGTGACACCTTATGTCCTAGCAGACTGGGCCAAAGAAATCCACGGTTCTTCCCGGGTTCCAGACATCTGAGAATCGGTACTACCCTGCCCGGCAGTACTTCTCCCCCACTCCCTGATTATTTCTGAAAGCTGATCTTACATTCTCGGGGTCTGTAGCTCACTGGAGACTGCTTGTTTAGCCTGGGTCTGGCCCCCAGTACTATGAAAAATAAAATTACAGAGAATCTTCTACTAGAAACAACACAGCCAAACCATCAGTCACCGCTGTCACTTGAATCAGTGTCAAAGCAGGAGAGTGTTGACAGCCAGAACTAAAGAAGCACAGCACCCAGGTACAGATTAATTAGGTGTCTCCCCACCAGCCTTTCTTTATTCAGATTAAGTCGGACTTAACAGTAGCTCTCCCTGCTAAAAAGAGAAACCTCTTACTCATAGTGCCTGCGTTAGTCTGTCCTATAGTACTGTAACAAAGTGCCTGAGGCTAAACTGCTTTACGAAGAAATGAGATTGATTTAGCTTACAGCTCCGAAGGTTCAAGACCCCACATCTGCCCTCTTGCTGGTAGAGTCCAGAGTTGGCACAGACTATCAGACAGCAAGAGACAGGGCCTGTTCACTGTCTCCCTGTCTCTCCTTGCATCAATATTAAGGACTCTGTCCTGAAGGCTTTACCTCCTCTTGGTCACCATCCAAGCATATCACTTCTAAACACTTAAAAAAAAATAATAAAAGAAAACAATCAAAATTTAAAGAACCTTTATTACTATTATTTTGAATCTCAGTCTCACTATGTAGCTCTTGCTGGTCTTGAACCTGCTATGTAAACCAGGATGCTCCCTAACTCATGGAGATCTGCCTGCCTCTGCCTCCCCAGTGTTGGGAGTAAAGGTATGTACCACGGTGCGCAGCTTGTATTTTGTAATTTGTGAGAGAGAGAGAGAGAGAGAGAGAGAGAGAAGGAATGTGAATGCAGGTGCCCATGGAGTTCAGAGGCATCAGATCCCCTGAATTAAGAGTCACCTGAAGTGCATGCTGGGAATCAAACTCTGGTCCAATAGAAACGCAGCAAGAACTCTTAATCACTGAACAGTCTCTCCAGCCCCTATTTTTAACAGTTTTAAGTGTGTGTGAGCATGTGTGTCTGTACACACGCTTGAGCAAATGAGTACTGGTGCCTTCAGAAGGGAGAGGCTTCGGTTCTCCCTGGGGCTGGAGTCACAGGTTGTTGTGAGCCGCCAGACATGGGTGCTGGGAAACTGAACAGCTGGAGTCCTCTGCCAGAATAGTCCGTGAACTTGACTGCTGAGGCCTGTCTCCATCCAATCATTTTAGAAACATGAAATTTCTTAACCCATCCAAGTCTCTTAACCCATCACAGAGATTAATATCCATTCGGCCATTGGAAGGCATAGGAGCTTAAAAACAGTCTCCAAAATGCAATGTTCTCAAGCTAACACAAAAACAATCTCAGGCTGGTGGGGACCTGCGGAATGTAGTTCTCCTGGATTTGCAAAGGGCTCCATCGCTGAAGGGCTCAATTCCTTTTCCAAACGGTTGGGCGAGAGTCCACAGACCCCGCAGGGCTTCGCCGGCTCCCGCCGCCGGTGCTATTGCTCAGGGCCGGCTGTCTTGGTGGTCACAAGCTCAGTAGAGCCCAGCTCCGTGGCGGGCACTGGGATGCTATGGCCCGGCAGGGTGTTGTCTGCGTCCTCTTTGAGGGAAGGCCAGGTAGGAGCTGAGGCGTAAAGGGTTTCTGGGGAGGGTACGTAGGCGTTGTCCGGGGTTTCTGGGGTGGATGAGGGCCAGGGAAAACAGGTCAGGATTGAGTCCTAGGCCCTCCACCCCCAGCGCCTGTTCTAGAAGCGTCCTCTGGACAGCCCTGGCTGGAGGAAGTGGGATGGCACATGACAAGTCTTCAGGACAGGAAGTGCTGAGTCCAGAGACTTGACAAGATGAGGTGGGGGGGGCGCTGACACGGGAAGAGGGGTGTCTGGCCAGCCAACCGGGCAAAACCCAAGATCAGGTGCCTTGGGCTGACACCTTCACCCCCAAACATCTCTTCCTGGGCTCTGGGACTCCTTGCTTGGATTCAGGCTTGGACTGTGCCGTCCTCTCTGCGCCTTTGACAGCCGCGGGCAGAGCAGACTCTCATAAACCCCTCGGTCCTGTGTCCCCATTTGGACCTCCCCGCCCTCCCCCCCCCCCCCCTAATCCGTCCCCCCCCCCCCCCCCACACACGCAGTTCTTACCTTCCTGGACTCCGTCTGGAGTGGCAGGGGAGGCCATCCTGCGCTGCTGCCGCCACCTCCAGCTCACCAGGGCCACCAGGGCCAGCGCCAGTACCAGTCCCAGGAGCGCGGGGGCGCCGAAGAGCAGCCCCGGCACCGGCAGCGCCGCGTCCGGCCCGGTGGCCACCGACTCCTGCGGCTGCAAAGCCGTCCCGGGCGCCAGGCTGCTCGCCGCTGGCAGAGGGGGTTCGGATGGAGGGCGGGGCGCTGAGGGGATTCAGAGAGCGAGAGCGAGAGCGAGAGCGAGAGCGAGAGCGAGAGAGAGAGAGAGAGAGAGAGAGAGAGAGAGAGAGAAATGTGAGGGTCTTGGGGACCGCTAGCCCCAAGATCAGCAGAGGAGCACGAGGTGCTTGCTGGTGGGCTGGGGACCTCGGAGGCAGGTCCCGCCTAGCCCCTGGCCTTGCTTACCGTGTTGAGGGTCCGGCGTGCGGAGGAGCACACAGGCCACGCAGTGTCGCACCAGAGGGTCGAAGCACTGGGCCTGAACACACGGCGTAGGCCCGGGGCTGTCGCGGCTTCTCCGGCCTCTGGCCCGGAGCCTCCTGGCGCCCATGTTGCGCAGCTGGGCCAGTTCTGAGTCTGGGTTCTGTGTCCCTCCAGTCTAGAATGAAACCGGGGCTCGGCAGCCTCTGCCCCGCCCTTGCCTGCTGGGGTGGGACCACTGGGGTGGAGCTGTAACCTCGCCTGGAACCCCAGACCTCTTTCACCTGTGGTTCCTGCATTAAACCACTCAACTGTCACCGCAGACGGCAGACAGCTGGGCACCCGCCTGCGCTGGGGGTCAAACTAGAGCCAGCTCTTAGACAGCAGGGGGGATGGACCCTGCGAACACATTCCTCCCTCAGGCCCCTGCGGCCTCTGCTCTGCCTCAGGAAGGCCAGTTGCTCCCACTAGCCATCTGCTCCTAGTCCCTCCTGCTTCCCGCTCTGTCCTTCCCAGGGTCACGACATCAAACCGTCTTGAGTGGCCAATTGGAATGCCCACAGTGGTGATGGAGGGACACAGATATCCTGAGACTTCCTCTTCTCACTGCCCTCTAACCCTCCGTATCCTGGCCCTCTGCCTGCGAGTCTCCTTTGAGAGCAGTGGGAACAGGCAGCCAGTCACCCTGAACTCCAGGGGAGAGGGCAGGTGTGGGGCCTGGCCTGAGTGCCACCAGCACCAGTCTTTACCAACAATGACAGGAAGATTTGAGAAAAGGACATGGTGTTGGTAGAGGTCTAGGGGCCAGTGGTAGGGAGCCAGGCGGGCTTTGAAGGGAGCCCTGGCTGGGATCTACAGATTGGCACCCCTGCAGTTTCTCTCCTAGGGGGTGAGCTTGCTCGAGGCTGGCTGTCCTTGCCAGGTCCCCGCTGCATCAGGCTCTGGTCCCCGTGGTGTTTGCCTCCCACCTGTCTTGCATCAGCACCTCTCAGATGCAGCCTAGCTCACACAAACAAGCTCTCTGGGTCTTGGAATATATGCAACCCCGCCCCCAGAGGTCCTGGGCTGGAAAGTGCCAGAGGGAGATCCCAGCTAGGAGCTGGGGCCGGGAGTGCCCTGGTGAGCCTCATGGTGGGTCCTGGAGACCTCTGAGCCCTCAGGGCTCAGGGCTGAGGGATTTCTTTAGTAGCTGCAAGGAACATCGAAATGTGCCCTCGAGGCAACGGCATGGGGAGGGCGAGGGGCTTCACATCCTGGGAACAGACATGGCCAATGCTATGGATGGGATGGTCCAGGTGCAGCTGGAGCAGGAGGCCTGGCCGTGGCTCTCCATGTGCGTGCGTGCGTGGCTCTCTGCCTTGTGCTTTATTCTGCAGGGCCCTACGGCTGCTTCAGGTTGGAGACTGGGTGGACAGGCTCCTCTCAGGGCACGGGATGCTGCAGAGCTGACCATGGGATGAGGGACTCAAAGCTGGAAACAGGAGATCCCGAGGACCCACACAGAAGCCTCCTAAATCGGCCTCCAGGGGTTCTGGCCCATCCCCTAGCCTATAGGCCAGCAACTCCTCGGCAGGAAGGTGTAGGCGTTGGGGAGCTACAAAGGAGAAGTGGGTCTGGGGAGGTGGGTGTGGGTGTGAGTGTGGGTGTATGGGGAGGTGGGGGGAGGGAAGGAGCGCGAAGAGGAGCCAGGGTAGGGACAGCCCTTCTTTTGGGACAGAGGCATGAAGGTGCGACCAGAAGACTTGGCTGAAACCCTCTGCCCACATACGCTTCTGTCACTACTGGGCTGCTGTTATTCATCACCATTAGCGCCATGGAGCCCTGCTTAGGCACCAGGGCTCTTAGCTTTTGGGTTAGACACTGGGGCTTGTGGGAACTCAGGGCCGGGGATCCACCCTGAGGGAGGGCCGGCCGGTAGGGCCAGGGTAGGGCCATGGGCCACCCCAAGGAAGCCAGCTTACAAGCAGATAGATCTACACGATGAAGATCACTACTCCGGCTCCTGCAGCAAAGATCATCTCAGGGTATCAAGCAAGAGGGCTGTTAACTCACAGTCCCCATCACAGAGCCCTTCACCCCAGCCTGAGAAGGAGGCTGGAAGTCTGGAAGGACAGAAGCGAAATGACTCAGTTGACACAAATGTTTATTGGGCATTTCCTACGGTCCCTGTTGAGACTGGCGCTAGACTAAGCCAGAGACGGCAAAAGGCCTGTGGGATATTCGTTTCTGTGGTCAGTACAGGTGCCTGACCTCAGTGAGACATTTTCACTTGCACCTCTGAAGCGGGGGCGGGGGCGGGGGCTGGAGTAGCCCTTGAATCTCTGCTTGGATTGTTTCATGCTTACGGAGAGAGAGCTGGGGACTGATGATGCGACTCAGCTGGCAGGGTGTTTGCCTAGCACGCACACTGGCAACCCCAGCACTGAGCAAGTTGAGCGACAGTGGGATACACCTGTAATCCCAGCACAGCACTAGGGAGGTAGAGGCCTGGAAGTTCAAGGCTATCCCTGAGCTATATAGTGGGTCTGAGGAGGGTCCATCCTGAGCTACATGAGACCCAGAGAGCAAAAACAAAAGCAAGAGGGGAAGAGGGATAGGGGGAGAGAGAGCTCACTGACACAGTAGGTGTTAGGCTACACTTCAATGTGTTCTTACTTTTTTTCTTTTTTTGAGAGAGGGTTTCTCTGCATAGCTCTGGCTGTCCTGAACCTCCCTATGTAGAGCAGGCTGACCTTGAACTCACAGACGCACCTGCCCCTGCCTCCCCAGCGCTGGGACTAAAGGTGTGTGTCAGCACCACCTGGCTGGTGTGTTACTTTCAACACTTTTATGTGTGTGTGAGTATTTGTCTGTGCACCGTGTGTGTGCAAGTCCCCTCAGGGGCCGGAAGAGGGTGTCAGATCCCCTGGAACCGCACACCCCAGGGCCTCTGCAAGAGCAGCCAGCGCTCTCAACCACGAGCGCCTCTCCAGCCTCCAGCGCACTGACTTTTAAATTCACCTTTCCACATCACAGAACATTACTGGCTTATTGTGCAGGAGTGAACTCAGGAACAAGTGATGGAGAGCAGCACAGGGCAAAAGTCCTGAGGGAATGGGGCTTCTGTGCCTCCTCCGGGCACACATCACCTCATGCCACCTTCTCGAGCCAGAAGCTCTTCTGTGTCACTCCTGACTATACGATAACTAAGGAGCCAGGCGGGGCAGCCCACGCCTTTAATCCCAGCACTCAGGGAGGCAGAGGCAGGTGGATTGCTGTGAGTTTGAGGCCAGCCTGGTCTATAAACGGAGTCCAGGACACCCAAGGCTACACAGAGAAACCCTGTCCCAAAAAACAAAAACAAAACAAACAAAAAGATAACCTAGGAGAAGCCAGTTTCTAAATTCACAGTAATGCCTGCACATTTTCCTTTTAACGGGTTTTTGTTTTGCTATTTTTTTTTTTTTTTTTTGTAACATGATTTGTGTATCTGTTTATGGCAAACAGGATCTTGCCACGTTGCTGAGGCTGGCCTCAAACTTGCGGGCTCAAGCAAGCTTCCTGACTCTGCCTTCTGAGTAGCTGAGGCTACAGGCACACACATCCCATCAGCCCAACCTTTCATCCCTTAGAAAAAAAGCAATTTGTACTTTAAACAATTTGGTATGACTTCAGTGCATTCCTCTTTTCTCTTTCTTTCTCTTCTCCCAGAGCTAAGGATGGCACCTATAGTGCCAGCATCTTTTGGGGGGTGGGGACAGGAGCCCAAGGTCAGACTGGACTACTTTAAAGATCCTTCCTTCAAAAAACCAATTTCTTCTTATTATTTGTGTGTGTGACGTGTGTGAATGGAGGCACACGTGTGCCACAGTGCACACGATGTCAGGGGACAACTCTTGGGAGTTCTGGAAGGCACACTCAGGTGCCAGGCTCCTGAAGCAGGCACCTCTTCCCAGCCTATATAGGTTATAACCTTTTATATAAAAGCAGAGGTGGAGAAGCTGGGCAGAGGAGGCGCATGCCTTTTGTTGATGTTACTTTCTACTTCTACCTGTTTCTCCCTTCTCCACCCCAATCCCTTCCCATACCCCAATACCAGCTAGGAGAGAAAGGACGTTAGTGGGGAGAGGGGACGGAATCCTTTTTAGCTTTTTCCTGCTGGTTAGGGTCATCGGGCAAGTTCGATCTTCATTTCAGGAGATTCCTGACTTCTCTTCAAACTGCATCAGCGGCAACCAGGAGCAGCAGGGCTGGACACCAGCAGCCTTGTTCTTTCTCGGAGCTCCTCCACACTCTTTGGGCTCTGGCATTTATTCTCTCTCTGGAGTCCTCAGATTCAAACTATCTACAGCTGGCAAAGAGCCCCTCTCAGAGTCCGCAAGAGGCAAAGAGTTTACCGGACCATCTGAATCAGTCCCGAATCCTACACCTGGGATCAAAACAAAAAGCGTGTTTACATCTGATCCCAGCACTTGGGAGGCAGAGGCAGGCAGATCTCAAAAAGGTGGTTCATCTGGGGGTGGGGGTAGGGCGAGGAATTTTTGCTCTGAAGAAAGCCTTGATGGGGTCTGCACCCCCTGCCGAGCCTGGCCAGTGCCCTTCATGCTTCAGGGCCGGGCCGGGGAAGTAAGGCCACGGTGGCTGGTCTATGGGACAAGCCCAGTGTGCTGGGGGTGGGGAGGCGGTCCCAGGGGGGCAGAGAGGCACGGGCCTCCCAGATCTGGGTGTGAAACTGCTCTGAGACCTGGGATGCTCTCAACGGTGAATGTCAGTGTTAGCTGTAACGCTGCAGTCTCTTAAAAGGCCGTCAGCATCGTGGTGTGGTTTCTGGGCTGGAAGGGGCGGCGGTCCCCATGCTCTGGAGACTGCTCGCACGCTGGCTCAGGTACACGCATGCGGAGGTTTTTTGTTTTCTTGAAACATGACTCATAACACAGACTGCCCTGGGGGCCTTCCCAGCCACCCTGAGCAGGCCTGGGAACTTCACATCCACCCCAGTTTTTTCTTTTTTCAGTGTCCAGTTCTCAAAGCAGAGGTTCTCCTGCCCACCCCCGCCCCTCCCATCCAGTTCTGAGAAACAAAGACGATGTTGGAAAGTCCCCTTCGGCGGGAACACAGGGAAGGCCAATGTCAGGCTTTCTGTTCACTGAGGAGGGGTGGAAAGGCGGCAGCAGGTTGGGGGGAGGTTCGGGTCAGGCCAGAATCTTTAGGCCTGAGCAGCCCCAGGCAGAAGGTGGTCAGGGAGGCTCCTGTCCTCTGTCCTCTGAACCCAAGCTCAGCAATGGCAACGGCCACTCTTCCGTAGAGCAGTGACCCACGAACTCTCCACAGCCCAGGCTACTCCCTCCCAGGCCCCTCTCCCCTACACACCCATCGCTCGAACGCCTGTGGGCTCACGATGGAGTTCCTGCTCTGTCATTCTTCAAGCATGGCCTCGGTGTGGGGACGAGGGGCCTTCAGTACAAGAGACCACAGACCTCCAACCTCTCAGCCACAGCGGCGGAGTCCCACCCAGGGGCCCAGCAGGCAGTTGGGTGGTGGAGTAGGAATGGGAGCTTCCCCAGTTTCATTCGGGGCACCACAGCAGGAACAAACTGTGGCTGGGCTCTGGGCCTCCAGGAGCCCCCAGGCATGGCCATTTCACCATCTGCGAAGTGCCAATCGTGCACCAGGCACTGCTAAGTCCTGGAGCAGTGGGCAGCAGCAGGTGGCCGCAGGAACCAATCTAGCAGGCAAAGGATGAGAAGGGCTGGGGAGAAAAACTCAAGGGGGGTACCAGGGAAAGAGGGGTGTGATTTCTATCTTTGAAATTTACTTCAGGTTCCAGGAGAGACACCGACTCAAAAACAACTTGGAGAATGATGGAGGATGACATCTGTGGCCTCCACACTCGCAGGCACAGCTTGGGCTGGCGAAACTGTATACACACACCTCAAGAGGCAGAGCAGTGGGGCTCAAAGGGAGCTGACCCATGCCGCAGAGCCTGGTGGGGAGACTTGCAGGCCTGGTCCTTTTCCGCTTCACTTCCTCTGTGGCCAAGCAGCCCAGGCCTCTGTTGGGGGCTGCAGTGGGATGAGCATGCATACACGTATGGAGGTCAAAGGACACAACTTGCAGGAGTGAGTTCCGGAGAGGAAATTCAGGTCACCAGGCTTGGCACCAAACACTCTTACCAGCCGAGCCATCCTGCCTTGCTGGCCCTGGTTTGTCTCAGACAGGGTCTCTCGTAACCCAGACTGTCCTCAGATGCACTAGGTGGCTGAAGACGACCTTGAACCTCCCCTTCTGAGTGCTGGCTTGAGCCCCTATGCATGCAGGTGGTGCTATATGGTCTGGAGTGGAGCGCGCTACCCACTGAGCTCACCTCCACCCTTTGCAAAATGCGCTAGCACTGCATGGTGTGTGTGAGGCCAGAGGACAGGTTTCAGTGTGTTCTCTCCTACCTTTACGTGGAAGTCAGGCTTAACAGCAAATGCTCTTACCCCACAAACCATCCCATCAGCCTCCCCCGCCCCACCCCTTTCCTGAACTGGTCTTACACTGTAGCCCAGGCTGCCCTGAAAAACCATGGTCCCTCTCACCTCAGAAGTAAGTCACACCCAGCCGGAAGATCCTTGATGCCAATCTGCAGCTTCCTTTCCTCTACAGGAATGGTGTGCCACCATCACTTAGGCAGAGACAAGAAGTACCGCCGGAGCGCTGCCAGAACCCTCGGGTCCCTGCAGCCTCCTGCAGAGAACCAAGCTTCCTGGAGGGGTGTAAGAACTGCCCGTCTCGGCTTGCCTAGGGACAGAGCAGCCTGTGGTGTAACGTAAGCCCTCCCCGAGAATCTTATTCAGGCAGCAGGCGCCTGGTAGCCACCCAAACTCCTCCACCTCAGCACCAGGTCCTAGCCCTGGGGCACACCAGGGTCCTCCTGTCCTCAGTCAGACATACTGCCAGAAGCAACCTCTCCCTGCTGTCTTCACGAAGGCCCGAGGGCACCCAACTGCCATTTAAGTGTCACTCAGCTCTGCTGTGTGGCAGGGGCAGGCCAGCCCAAACCCCAGAGAGGCGCCTCTAGTTCCAGGGTCCTTGCCAAGCTTGGCAGGGAGCTGGCAGCATCGACAGCCTTGAGCTCCCCCAGCACTTGGAAGGCTCCCAGGCCCTCACTGGAGAATGTGATGCCATTTCTCTTGCTAAATGGCACCAGGTGGCAAAGAAAACGTGGCACAGGGACCTGAGGGAGAGGTGTGCACCACGCTAGGAGATGAAGAAGGGGCGAGAAGCTTCCTGTTTTCAGTAAAAGGTGACATAAACAGGAGAGGCGTGGCCATGCTGCCCTCTTCTCTAGCTCAGGTGCCCCTCCAACAGCCTTCCCACCCTACTTCTGGACCATTGGTACTGAGGCGTCTGGGGACAATGCTGGTCCCCAAGAGGCGTGCGTCTTCAGAGAAGGCTGGCCTTTCAGTTGTCTCCTCCAGGGACAGTGCAAATTTTGCCATTTGCTTACAGACACTTCCTTTTACCTCATCCACCTGTGCTGGGCCTGGATGGAATGAATGTCTCAGCAGGGTCCCAAGGCTGGTCCCATGCTTCCGGCCTGTTGTACCAGCAAAGCGCTCAAGTCTAGTCTGAGCTTGAGGTTTATGGCTCACAGGACCTCTTCTTTCTCGGGCACCAAACGTTCTGTCTCAGGCCCTCCCAGAGGAGATGCCACACCTCTACTGAACCACACAGAACCGGGGGCAAAGCAGGTCTGCCATCTGTTGGCTGGGGCTATGGACACACCTTCAGTGACGTCTGCCTCAGGAACTCTGAAACGGGGACTCAGCAACCCTGCAGGCCTGCTGGGAGGGTGACAGGAGCGGCTGCTGCATGAGCAGAACTCCGTGAAGCGTGAAGTGCTCTGCAAGCGTCAGGTGACATGTGTGGCCCCACAGGAACCTACAAAGCTGAGGTCCCCACTGGGACCCAAGGGGCTGCCTGCAAGTCAGAAAGGTATGTCTAGCTGGGCGTGGTGATGTGAGTCTTTAACCCCAGCCCTCGGGAGGCAGAGGCAGCAGATCTGTGAGTGCCAGACCAGCCTGGTACAGGACAGCCAGGGCTACAGAGAGACACTCAAGAAACAAACAAACAAACACAACAATCCTGCCTCCACCAAAGCACAAATGAACCCAAGAATAAACCCTTGAGAGGTAGCTGACTCTTACTTCATGTGGGGTTGGGGCCTTGGGCTCTTCTGGCATCCAGAGGCTAGGCCGTCCTAAAGCTGAAATGCAGGCCCAGTGTGGAGAGCTCAGGACTCAGATCTCTCAACAAACCCCCAGCTCAGCACCCCAGGCTGCTGTGTGCTAAGCCACCTCTCCCGCAGCACTGGGAACTTCGGCCAGAATGACGGGACTGCCCCAGGCCAAGCTGGACGGCCCTTCCGCCTGGCTAGCGTCATTCCTGAGGTGAGACTAGTTTTGAAAACCAGCTCAGTCTGGTTTTCTGTGACTGCATCCATCCTGCTGTGTGAGGCATGACACCATGTGTGATCTATCAGACAGACAGACAGACAGACAGACAGGTCGCAGGGAGCAACAGAGTCTCAGGCAGCAAGCCATCTGCCATTTTATTCAATCCTCAACAAGAAGAAGCAGGGGAACTCACACCAGCGGAACAGGCTCCAGGGAGCAGCAGCCAGGCTGTCAGAGAAGCAGGGCCAGCATCCGCTGGGCTCCTGGAAGCCACCGCCTGCCCCCTTAATTGTCCTGAGTCAGTCTCCTCATGTACAGAGTCAGTGGTGGGGGAGACAGATTTTCAGGGCTTTTGCTTAGCTGCGGCTCTTTGTTCTACAGGAATCTCAGGTGGATGTGCGCTGTTAGACAGGTGGAGAACGGGCCTCTGTGGGTGATCCGGGGAGCAGGAGGCTGGTGGGGTTTCAACTGCTGGGCTCCCTCCCCGCTCCTGCCCAGCACGGCCTGGTGGAGCCGATCTTGGCCCCGCAGTGAGCAGGCTGCCTCCGGGCCTGTCAGCCCCTGACTGGTCTTCACCCACACTGGCTGCTTATGGAGCTGGCATGAAACGTGGGGAGGGCGGCAGCACTCACGGCTCCTTGGACGGGGGGCTCCTCAGCAAGGACATCAGGTTCAGCGCTGAGACGCCTGGCACGTGGCCCGCGCAGATCTGCAGCAAGCGCACCAGGCGCTGTGCCATGGTGGCTCGAAAGCTTTCCACCTTCAGGGAAGAGCAAAGAACAGCGGTGAGGGGGTGGCTGGCCCTGCGGCCATGCCCAGTGCAGAGGCCCAGGCATGGCTGGCAGCTGAGATGCAGGGGTACCTGATGGCCACCCCACATCTGCCACACCTCACTGGGGAGCTTCCTACCTTGTTCCTTAAACCCAGATCCGCAGAGACTGTGAACCCCGATCAAGCGGAAACGGGGACTCGACAAACAAGACTGGTGAAGGCCAAGAACACTGTCAAGTACAGGGTCATGGAGCTGGGACCTCACCACGGCTGGCTCCCACTGACAGGCACCCCGGGAAGCCACAGGGACAGAAGGGAGGATGGACTGAGAGGCCCTCAACATAGAGGAGCTGTCACCCAGAGTCCCTTTATTGCGATGGGGGCCGCCCAGGGGAGCTGGGGGTTAAGAAGCTGCCCTGGCCCAGGGACCAGTGAGTTCTGGGCAAGTAAGAGAAGCTTACAGACATTTGCTGAAGAACTGACGCTCCAGCAAGTCGCCTCAGGGTACTGTCAGCCCGTCACTGACTCTGCTCCCGCAACCTTGCCTTGTCTCTAGAGGCAGCGCCATCCTACCAGCTGTCACGCCGGAAGCCTCCGTTGTCCCTGACTTGTCTTCCTGTCACCTCACATCTGGCCACCAGCACATTCTGTTGGCTGGCCAGGAAACAGCAAGGACTATGGACCATCCCATGTCCATTCCCCTGGACACCAATGAATCCAGGCCACTCAACCCTTCCAGAAAAATCTCTAAAACTTGTCCTCATTTCTGCCCTCTCCTCTCTCTCCATTTACTCTTACAGCCAGAGCAAAGGCACATGCTTCCTAGGCTCCAAACAGCAGCTCCAGTTTTATTCCAAGTAGAAGCCAGAACCTTTACTGACTCAAGGACCTGACCCCATCCATTACAGACATTTCCTACTGCTCCGTCCCCCCAGCACGCAGCTGGTCCTGCACAGGCCCCCCTGAAGGACCTTCAACACACCTGCAAGCCCTAGACCTCTGTGCGTAACACCTCCTGACGAGGGCTCTGCTGCCCGATAGCGCCCTGCGGTTGCTCAGACCTGAGCGCTTTCCCCACAAAGCCGCATCCTTAGCTCCCACCCGTCATTCTCTTCTATGTCGCAGACAAACAAGCACAAGTGGCCTGTTTATGTTCTCGCCCGAGGTACAGCCAGTATGTGTGTGTGTGTATGTATGTATGTGTATGTATGTATGTATATATATATATATATATATATATATATATATATATATATAGCCAGTATGTATATAATATATATATATATATAGTGTGTGTGTGTGTGTGTATTTTACTATTTTGTTTTGTGTGGGGCCTCTAGCGCCGACATCAGTGCTTGGCACATTGAGGTGTTTTGAACACAAGGTCTGTATCTCCAATCTACTGCTGCTCTAGCCTAGCGCGACAGCTGCTTCCTGCCATCCATGCCCCACACATGCCCCGCCTCAGACCCCATTCTGACCACAGCCACGATTTTGCCCATGCCCTACGGGAAGCCATGCTCTGCCACGCTGCCACCCAAGCTCACTAAATCCTGAGAAGACAGCGTTGGCTCTATCTGTGTTGCCAGGCACCCACAGAGGCCCTGCTGGTGCCAGCGGGTGAATCGCACACCTAGGGCCGTGGTTTTCAATCGTCCTCACGCTTCGACCCCTTAATATGGTTCCTCATGTTATGGTGACCCCCAAACCACACTTCATAACTGTAATTTTGCTACTGTTATAAATTGTGATGTAAAAAGCTGATATGCGGAAAACACAGGGTGAGAACCACTGTCCAGAGTGCTTCCCAGTCTGTAAGAGAGAATTAGCAACTGTTGTCACACAAAGGCCTCCAAATATGCTGAGGTTCCAACAAGACAAAGAATATGCTCTGAAAGGACAACTCAGGCACATCGAGGCCTGTGTTCCAGGCCCCAGGCCGGGATTTGTAGCCCTGCTGCCAGCTGGAAATGGAGTGTCTGTCGGCCCTGCTTTCCTCTACAGTCGGTCGCAGGACTTTCCTTCCCTTTTTTCTTTTTCAAAATAAGGTTTCTCTGTATAACAGAGCTCTGGCTGTCCTGGACTCACTTTGTAGACCAGGCTGGCCTCTAACTGAGTTGGTGTGTGCTACCACCCCTGGCCCCCGGCATGCCTTTAATCCCAGCACTTGGGAGGCAGAGGTAGGCAGACCTCTGAGTCGGAGGCCAGCCAGCTAGGGCTGCAGAAAGAGACCCTGTCTTAAAAAAACAAAACCCAAAAACATCCATTTAGTGTGTGTGTGTACACCCATGCGCAAAGGTCAGAGGACAACTTGCAAGGTGTCCATCCTCTCCTTCCTCCTTGTGGGTCCCAGGGACAGAGAACATGCTGCTAGCCAAGTGCCTTTGCCTGTGAGCCAAGGCTCTGCCCTAGTCCAGACCGCAAGCGCCACAGAAACTAAAAAATTGGTGTGGCCTGTCACCTCGTGGCCACACATGGAACTGCAACAGCACTGTCACCAAGGCTGGGAGGCACTACGGGCACCAGCACCCAAGTCGTGAAGCAAAGATCTTAAAACTACCCGTATGTAAGGTGACTGGCTCAACACATGGTCAGCGGCCACAATGTGGAAACAGCCGCACACCAGGTGCCTGGCCCTAACTTACTGGTTGTGTCACTGAGCAGGTGACTCTTTCTGGATTGTTTTTTCAGAGGTCTGTTAGGAAAGCCTGGCAGAGACTCTTCATGTGCCGGGCGGTGGGGGGAGCAGGGGGCGGTGGCACAAGCCTCCCTCCACACCAGGGGCCATCTCAACTGGATACTTGGGGACCATTCAGTAAGCATTCCCGACATGCTTCACCGGTGGCCACTGCCCTTTCCCCCGTACTGAACTATAACCCTGGCCACAATGACCAGGACTCTCACCTCTAAGTCACAGAAGAGCAGGGGGCTCTGGTAGGTGTGGGCCAGCTTCACAACTGTGTTCCGGTGAATGCTGCAGTGGCTCTCCCGTCCAGCTGCAAAGAAGCCAGGCACACTTCAGGCCACAGACCCGCCTGCCGCCGCCTCTCAAGCGCTGGGACTAAAGGCATGCGCCACCGTGCCTGGCCCCTCTTTTCTGAGTAGTCAAGACCCTCATATTAGACTACAAGGCTGAGAGGCCTTAGTGTATAGATAATCGAGTCTCCTCACTTTTGAAATGAGGATGAGAGTATCCACTCCGCTGAGCTGCTCAGTCAGTGAACGGATACTGAGGAGTCTGTATACTGAGACATTCACCTGTTTACCAGTACCGAGAACCATCGCCACCATCACCACCACCATCACAGTTATCAGCGCCAGGCTGTGCCCTCAAGGACCTCAGTGTGGCAGGGAACGCGGGCATCAGACACATTGCTGACCCTGAGTGGAGTGTTAGGGTATTCCCGCAGGAGGTGGAAATGAAGTGTCACAGTAATCACTCAGAGGACAGCCCTGACACCAGGCATGGTGGCACACAGGGTTTGAGGATAACCCGAGCTACATGTTAAGTCCCTGTCTCAAAAGGCAAAGAAACAAAATGAAACAGAGCAAAAACCCCAAACAAGAGGCTGATGGCTCAGTATGAGGACTATGCTGGCATGAAGCTCGGCTCTCCCCGTTTAGCTTTCAGGCCCTGAGCAAGCCCCTTCACCTTATGCCCAGTCTCCTCAGCTGTACGTTTGAGGCAGGGCCCACCTCAAAGATCACCGTAATAAAAAACCCGGGTTTGGTGCACAGTGAGAGCCGAGCCTCAGCAGGACCGTTCTCAGAGACCTGCAAATAGTGAGAGGAAAAGTTGTAGAGTGGAGGCCAACTAAAAAATACTTGAGACAGGATCCCACCAGATTCTCAAGCTGGCCTCGGACTTTCAGCAGTCCACCTGCATGCCGTCCTCAAACCCCAGATCCCCCTCCTGCCTTGGCGTCCAGTGTGTTGAGATTAGCAGTGGGTGCCGCTTCTAGGTTTACTCAGCTCCTTTAGAGGATTTGAATTCCAGTCTGAAAGCCACAGGGAGTCAGTAAGGAACTCGGCGGAAGAGCAGAATTAGCCTCTTGGATCAGTTAGCGTCAGCACTGCCTGGGGTGGTGGTGAACGCCTTTAGCCTCTAACCCCAGCACTCGGGAGGCAGAGCTAGGTGGCCTCTCTGAGGCTGAGGCCAGCCTGATCCAGCACTTTCGGGGCTACGTACAAAGATCCTATTTCAAAACAAAAACTTTTTTCCCCCTTTTTCGAGACAGGGTTTCTTTGTGTAGCCCTGGCTGTCCTGGAACTCACCTTGTAGAACAGGCTGGACTTGAACTCAGAGATCTACCTGCTCCTGCCTCCCAAGCGCTGGGATTAAAGGTGAGCGCCACCACTGCCTGGCTTCAAAAGTACATTCTTAAATGAGGTGGCTCAGCAGTTAATAGCAGTTACTGCTCTTCCAGAGGACCTGGGTTCGATTCCCGGCCCCCATGGGGACTTACAGCCACCTGCAACTGTCTATAACTCCAGGATCTCATGCCTTCTTCCAATTTCCTCAAGCAAAAGAACCATTGACAAAAAAAAAAAGAAAAGCCAGGAAAGGAGCAGCTCTGTGCAGGCCGCCTTAGCAAGGAGCTCTAACTGCTATTGCTCTGGCTGGAATAAGGTGTAGCAGGAAGAGGCCACACTTACCCCCTGTGACGAGGAAGCACACTTTCCCCAGGAAGAATCTGCTGTCCACATGGTTCAGAGACTCCTCCACCTTCTGGAGGCTGGGAGAGACAGCCCAAGCAAGAAAAACAACCATGAGACAGAAAGACACACATTCTTAATCCCAGAACTCAGGACGCAGGGGCAGGCAATCTCTAAGTTTGAAGCCTTCCTGGTCTACGCATCGAGTTCCAGGACATTAAAGGCTACTTAGGGTCCCTGTCTCTGACAACACTCCCAACCCATCTTGATTCTTGTTCTTTTCTGTGTTTGTTCTTTAGGGTCTCACTATGTAACTCAAGCTGGCCTTGATCTCCTGCTCCCCCTGCCTCAGCATTCTGAGTGCTGAGATTATGACACACAGCACAGCGCTGAGCTAAATTCTGGGTGATTTTTTTTGTTGTTGTGGGCATTTATTTATTGCGTGTACACACATTTGTGGAAGGTGCCATGAAGTACTTGGTGGGTCAGAGAACCATACTGAGTCCTGGAGTTGAACTCAGGCCATTAGGCTAAGCCATCTTGCAGCCCATAGTCTCTCTCCTGAGTCAAGATCTCATATAGCTCAGGGTAGCCTTGAGATGACCTTGAACTTCTGACCGTTTTGTCTCTATACCTTAAATGCTGTGATTTTTTTTTCTAAAGATTTATTTATGTATACAATGTTCTGCCTGTATGTACACCTGCAAGCCAGAAGGGGGCACCAGATCTCATTATAGATGGTTATGGGCCGCCTTGTGGTTGTTCAGAATTGAACCCAGGACCTCTGGAAGAGCAACCAGTGCCCTTAACCTCTGAGCCATCTCTTCCACCCCAAAATGCTGGGATTTTTTTATTTAATTAAATGCTGCCCTGTTTTATTTTATTTCTTAAAGGTTTTATTATTATTACTATTATTTTAAACTATGTGTAGGGAGGTACTTGCATAAATTTAGGGAGTGCTCATGTCTGTGGAGGCCAGAGGCACTGGATCTCCTGGAGCTTGAGTTATAGAAGGCTGTGAACTTCTTGTGGGTGCTGGGAACTAAACTTTCACTCACACACACACACACACACACACACACACACACAAACACCCCTTCTCTTAGCACCTCCCTTAGCTGCCAATTCTCCAGAAAAAATGGTTGCTAACAGTTTGGGGTGTAATTCTTCTAGGGCTTTTCTTTCATGTACAAATACGGCAGTGTGTTTAAAAGAGTAGTATTTTTCCAAAATATCGACCTACGTACCGTCCAACTCCTGACTGCTGCAGTTTTTATAGGGTTCAGTGTACCTAAGAGGTTGTGTGCTGAAATTTAAACCCCAGTGTGAAATCTGCAGCAGGGCACTCACCGACAGGGCACAAGAGCCCGTGTTCTATCACTAGTGCTACAAATAAAATAAATACAACGAGGGCAGGAATTTGGGCAGGAGGAATGGCTCAAAGGTCAAGAGCACTGACTGTTCGTCCAGAGAACCTGATCTGGCATCCCAGAACCCACAGGCAGCTCACAACTGTCCGTAACTGTAGTCACAGGGTATGATGCTCTCTTTTGGCCCCTCAGGCACGCGTGTGGTACACAGGCATATGTGGACTAGGGGCCCCCAAGGGCAGGGGTGTGTTCTTCTCTGTCGACTGGTAGACATAGCACATTCCAGGGAATATTAACATGCAACCGTCACCCCCCAGAGCTGCCTCCTGATGGCAAGCTTACTGTTTAGCACACGCCCGAGCTAGAGTCCTATCCCGGCTCTCACCTGTATTTGCTGTGAAGGTTGATCACAAACACAATCAGGTCAATTCGGGGCCGGCTCACATCGGAGGACAAAGGGAGGGAGTTGGTCAGATGGCTGAAAAGCAAGAAATTGCAGGACTAAAGACATGCATACCCACCTCACTGATGGCCCACACACTGTCCTTTACAGGGAAAGGAGCTGCCTCTCCAGGAGCCAGTTCCACCCAAAGCTCTCTGGCCTGATTCCCTCTGCCAGAAGGGGCTGTAAGTAATCAGTGTGACAAGAGGACTCAGACACCCTGCTCACTGGGAGGGAGACCAGGATTGGGGAGGGGTGCTGGATGGAGGTGGCAGGGGGTTAAGACTGAATCCACTGGGTATGAGGCAGATATGGGCTCGACCCAGGTTGGTCAGCTGCCAGCTATGTGACCTCACCTGAGGCCTTCTAATTTGGCTTGATCGCTAGTTGCCAAACACGCACCTGCAGGCTTTTCTTGACTTCTGCCCACCCTTTAATTCACCTGAAGTAACTGTCGTCTAGGATGCTTACTGCCTCCATTTGCTAACCTAGGCAGAGTCCTGGAAGATTCTAGTCTCCATACAATCTAATCAAGGCCGATTCAGTCTGGCTTCTCTCAGTTTCTCACTGAATTGCTTTGCTTGGCCTCAAACTAACTGTTCTAGTCTTCTGGCTCCTTCTGTCTTTGTCTAGCTTGTTCTCCCTTCAACCTGTCTCTGTAAAACTCTCCTGGTAAAACTGCCTCTGGATTCCACAAACAGAACTGCCGCAACTCAACCCCACTGCACTGCCTCTCGACTCAACTGCCTGAACAGCACTGACTACAACTCAGAGATCTGCATGCCTCTGTCTCCTGAAATTAAAGACATGTACCACCATGCCTGGACCTAAATTTTTCTTTACCTGAAACTTATTCTATACCAGGCTGGCCTTGAACTCAAGACATCTGCTTGCCTTGGTCTCCTGAGATTAAAGGTGTGTCTGTATTCCAACAGATCACAGACCTATTAGGTCTTTGAATGTGATCTCTTGCCAGAGCTGCCATGTTCTGAATTAAAATTTCTCTACATTCTTGTTTTCTTTCTTTCTTCTTTCCTTCCTTTTTTTTTTTTTTTTTTTTTTTTTGTAAGCCAGGTTGGCCCTGAACTTAGATCCTCCTGTCTCTGCCTCCCAAGTGCTGGGATTAAAAGCCTGTACTACCATGCCTGGCCTTTTTTAGATTATAATTTAAGGACTATGAAAAGTATAAAATTTATTTTTCAGACATGGTCTTATGTAGCCCAGGTGTGGTCTCTACCTTTCTTAGTTGAAGTAATCTTTGAACCCCTGATCTTTTTGCCTCTGCCTCCACATGCTGAGATTACAGGCTTGTACCACCACGACTAGCTAAAATTGCAAGACGTACACATGTCCCTCTTCTAGCTTCTTTGGTAGGTGCATTTTCAAGCACACTGTTCAGAGGGAAATACATTTTTAAAATTCTACTTCTGAGTTATGAGATTAAACCGGTTCTTAGTCTGTTTCATATTTTCAAGCCTGAAAGCCAGGTGAGTTTAGAAAAAAGTAAGGAAAATATATACTAACTTCTGTTCCTCCAAGTTTGGGGGGCACTAAAGAATTCTCAGAATTTTGTTGCAGGTATGCCATCCCCAGAACCTTCTACAGGCAGTGAAGATTTCAGATTTGTGCTGTTTTCTAAATCCTTTCACTGGACTAGTTCACCTTCGTGTCACCATGCTTTCCTTGGAAATCCCGGCCTTACGCTTTGCTAGCCTGAGATATTTTTACATTTCTTGGATCGTGAAGTAACTAATTAACAGGCATTAACTGAGCATCTACTCTGTGCTGGCTTCTGTTTAAGGCCCTGGGGTTCAGCAGTGAACAAGGGTCAAAGTCTCTGTCCTCAGAGGCTGATGTGTGTGTTATGAGGTGGGGGGAGGGGAGAACCTGAAAGGGGCAAACAGGTAGGCAGGTGACTTCTAATGTTTTGGTTTGTTGAGACAGGGCCTTAAGTAGCCCAGGCGGGACTGGGTACGTAATAATACGGGAGCCTCCATCTGGCCTCACCCTACAGATGCTGCGATTACAAGTGTGTCTCCTTGTTCTGGGTTCTAAATGGTGCTTATTTTCTACTTCCCAGGGGTTTTGGTCGCCCTGCATTATGGTTAGTTTGACTCAATCTAGAGTCGCCGGAGGCATCTAGAGGCTCAATGAGGCATTTTCTACATTAGGTTTGCCCGTGGGCATGCCTTGTGAGGGATTTCTTTGTAATTTCTTAATTGGGCTGAGGGAGGGGATTCTGGGTTGTGTAAGAGCAGAGAAAGCCAGCAGCGGGCGAACGTTTGCCCATTGCTCCCTCTTGACTGTGGATATAATGTTGACTTAACTGCTTCCAGTTACGTCTTCAGCAAAGATCTCGGCTGTACCCCGGCCTTGCGACCCAGGTTATGTCCTTTCGTCCTTAAGTTATCACAACTCACAGGAAACGAAACCAGGACACATGCCTCCTCCCTTCGTTCTTAGATGCTGACGACCAAACCCAGAGCCTCAGTGAGTTAAATCCGCAAGCCCTAAGTGGGTTTTTGGCGTCAGTAGGAGTTGTGACCATTTGCAGAGACCTATAGAGGAGGCACCTCCGCAAGGGTGGGCGGGACCACGGAGGACTGACGGCAACCGGGAGGGGTTGGGCCCTCTCCCGCAGGCTCCCTTCCCTCTCCCTCAAGCTGCAACCTCGGCAACTTACACCCTCAGGTCCGACGCACAGTCGTTTTTGAGCATCGATTCCGCCAGCTGCTGCAGAAGCGCATCCTCCGTGCCCACCAGCTGCGAAGGGAGAACCGGGGAGATGGAGGCCCGAGCAGGGAGGCTCCTCCGGAGAGCCCCGCCCTTGGGATCCCTCCTGGGGGGACACACTCAGCCAGAAGCGGCTTGGAGGGCGCCATTTCCCGAAAAGGGGACGCCCCGCAACCCCGCAAGGAACCATCCTCCCAGGGAACGGCCGGCTTCTCCCTCAGAACGCGGGAAAGCCCAGTTCAATCTGGAACGCCCACTCAGGGGAGACGTCGAGTCAGCCGCACGCCTATTGGTGGAGGCGTCCGTCGCTCTCGCGGGCCGCCGCTCCGATTGGTCCAGAGCAGCGCGCCCGCCCACCCCACCGCGGTGGAGGAAGCGCACCGGCCTAGGCTGCGGGAAGCCGGCTCCGGGGCTCTGCCCGCACCTACCAAGATGGTAGCCCCGTTCAGGTCGGGCAGCTTGTCCATCGGCCTCAGCACCGACATCTCAGCGGCAGAAGAACAACCCGACTCCGCGGCAGCCGGGCCACCCCGCTCAGAGCGCGGATCTTTCAAACCACCGCGAGCCCCGCCTCCAGGGGGCGGGGCGGGGCACGCATGTCAGGGCGGGACCTTCTGACCGGCCGCTCTTAAAGGACCCTCCGCCTCTCTGCCTTCCCTCCCGCAAGAGATTTTTAATTATGTGCTTGTTTGTGCTCATGTGAGTATGGGTGGCTTCGGAGTCTCTCGAACTAGATTTACAGGCAATTCTGGGGCCACATGACCTGGAAGGGACTTATGTACTCTTAGCTGCTGAGCCATCTCTCCAGAGACCCTAGCGTCCTATTTTTTTTTTTAAAATGTGTATTATATTTTTAGAGATTTTCAATTTATTTTTTTTTCTTTTACGGGTAAGGGTGTTTTGCCCACGTATGTATCTGTGCACTAAGTGCATGGTGCCCTTGAAGAGGGAGTCAGATACCTGGGAACAAGTCATGGAGTGCTGTGAGCGGCCCTGTGGATGCTCTGAGTCCAGCCTGGGCCCTCTGTAAGGGCAGCCAGTGCTCTTAAAGGTTGGGTGTCTCTCCAGTTAAGTACAGCCTGAGTTTCCTCACCTGCCTGTTCCTGAGGGTGTGACCTTTTCCTGCCTTCGTCTTGGTCCGACTCTCCTTCTTCAACTACCAGGACTACAGGCCTGCAAGTTCCAAATGTATGATTTTCCTTCAGGTTCCCAAACGTTAACTTCTGTCCCTAGTCTATGTCTGTCTCGGCAGCTCTCCACCCAGCTGGCAGCCATGCAGGGATCAGTTGCTGAAAATGACTTCCAGCCCTGGACTTGCTGAAAGCTGACGTGATCCACCCCAGCTGATGAGATTGCCTCCTGTCTCTTCAGCGGGGTGCCTGAATCCCCTCCTGCTCTTTGACTAGCATTTCAGCCTTCCTAGGCCCTGACACCCATGTCCTGATTTCAGCAGGAAGTAGTTAAGGAGACCACATCACCCCTTATCCTCTACAAAAGGAATGTTAGGTCAAAAGAGAACTCCCTGGCATAGGGGACAAAATGGCTTCCAATAGTGCCTTCGGCAGGGACCCGTTCAAACCAGACAGACTCAAATCTATCATCAGGTAGACTCATTAGCTGAAATGGCCCCACAATATGGTAGGGCATTCGATCTGCTTTAAGCAGGACAAGGAGGTTATTGTGTGGCTTTGAGAATAATTCTTGGCTCTATGCAAACCACTTGAAAACCATTAGAAAAAAATCAGCAAGGATTATAGCTAACAGTGGAGAAGGGTGGCCTTTGCCTCTTCCTCAAGGAGGAAAGCTGCTTCTGTGTCAACCAGTTGGGTACAGTAAAGGACAAAATCCCACAGCTCCAGAAAGATCTCCAAAATGCAAGGAACAGTTCCATGCCTCTGGCCATTATCTATCTATCTATCTATCTATCTATCTATCTATCTATCTATCTATCTTATTTATTTATTTAGATATGTGTGTTTGTGTATTTGTGTGCTCAAGCACAGACTCAGCTGTAGTGGGATTCTAGAATTACTGTGTCTGGGGTAAACACTAGAATGAAGTAGTTGTTTTTCATTGTATCTAGGGTACATATCAGAAGGAATAGTTGTTTTCTAGAAGAACTTAGACCTTGAAGAAATCTTGATGGAAAACAGTGATGGTTTTCTATGATTTGTAGAACTGTTTTTCTGAAGGAGCTTTACAGCTTTTGCCTGACTTTGGCCATGAGACAACCCTGGCACACCTGGATTGTCTTGCACTATTGGGTACTGCCAATGGTGCCCAGTTAGGACTAAGGTTTCGGGGTCTGATGTTCTCCTTCACAAAACATACAGATTAGATCAGGGGCTTTGGTATGAGGAACTTGTTTTGCTGAGAAAACAACTTTTGTGTAACAATCAATAAATACGCTGTTGTTCGGCTATTGGAGATTCGATCCACGGAGGCTGGCTCTCCCTGCTGCCAGCGACATCCTGCAGGGTCGCTCTTTCCCCAAGGAACCTGTGAGACCAGGACACCGACACTCAGGGAGACAATGACTGTCTTCCTTTGCTGCCCTCTGTCTCGCTCCTTTAAGACAAGGTCTCTCACTGAGCTGAAAGTGTATGTTTCCTCATTCCTGGGATTACAGACACAGGCAGAGACTTTTCCATGGATGCTGAGGATTGGAACACAGGTCCTCAAGCTTTCACAGCAAGTGATCTTACCTACTAAGCCATTTCCCCAGCCCTGCCCTCCTTTCTAAAGGGATAGATATTTCAGCTCTGGCACCAGACACACGGGGTGCTAGACAGGGCTTTTGGTGAACTGCCTCAGTCAGGTACCCCTGCCCCAGAGTTAGCTCCATCCTTCAGACTGTTCAGAATAAACACTTGAGATGACTTTTTATTTTTATTTATTTGTTGTTTTTGTTGTTGTTTGAGACAGGGTTCCTCTGGTAGCCCTGGCTGTCCCGGACTTGCTCTGTAAACCAGGCTGGCCTTGAACTCACAGAGATCCGCCCGCCTCTGCCTCCTGAGTGCTGGGATCACAGGTGTTCATCCCCACGCCCAGCTTCTGTGGTCGTTCTTGACTCTTCCATAGGATCCACATCTAGTGGGTGAGCAAACCTGTGTACTCTGCTTTAAGGACACATTCCCCCACTCCAGTTTCAGCTAGGACTGCCACTGTCGTCTGTCACCTGGACTTTCTCACCAAGGTTCCCAGGGCAGCCAGCAATTCTGCACCTAGCATCAGGGTCCTCTTGAGACAGAAACCAGAGCACACAGCTTTCTTGATCAATTCAACCCACAAGGCCCATCTACTCTGCAAAGGCCTGTCATGACCCCCACAACTCCTGACAACCTCCACGATCTTCTGTTCTTCGCCCATCAGCCACTAGGCTGTCCTTGTCCAGGACCTTGGTCCCTCCTGGTCCCTCAGGATGGAATATAACAAATAGTCAGTACTTGTTTCCTAACTTCATTTCTACCTCCAATTTCAATGTATCACCAGGGCTTTCTCCTCTCTGTGGTTTTTGTTTTGTTTTTTAGACAGGGTTTTACTCTGAGACTCCAATTCTGGGCAGTCCTTTCTGCCTCAGCCTTTTCAAGTGCTGGGATGAAAGGCAGGAGCAGCCATGCCCGGTTAGAGGGCATTTATTTTACATTCTGCTCATTTACCTTGCGTGTATAAATGGGCATAGGTGCCTTGGTGTGTGAGTGGTTCTTTCCCTCTACCATGTAGGTCTTGTATGCTGAATTCAGACTATCAAAGTCGGCAAGTTTACCCATGAGGCTATCTCACTGGCCTATTTTTTAAAAAGTGTTTTTATTAGCATATGTTAGTTATATGTAGTAACGGGTTTCATCATGACATTTTTATAAACGTGTGTAGGTACTTTGGTCCCTTCCCACTCCCAGCAACCTCCTTCCTCTTAAGCAGTTCCCAGAGGGACCTTTCTTAATGACCCTACCTAAAATAACACCCCCACCCCCACCCTGCCATCTCTCCCTGCTGCCTAGTTTCCTTTGCTTTTTCTGTTCTGCTTTCTCCACTGTACTTCCACGGACTTCCCAGCATCTGAGAGTCTGTCCTACTTAACAAACTATTACTCTAGCTCATCCCTATTTCCTGGATGCTGCCAGAAGACGAGAGCTTCCAGGAAGAGAAAGGATGGATAGCTTTATTAACTTTATGGAAACAGTATGAGCTGCAGATGTGTCACAGTTGGCCAAGCGCTGGCCTCACCGACAGAATGACAAAAACAGGGTGAGAACACACCCCTATGATCCCAGCACTGGGAAGGTAAAGGCAGGAGGATCAGAAGGTCAAAGTAATTCTTAGTTACACACTGAGTTTAAGACCAGTCTAGGATACATGAGGCCCTTTCTCTAAAATCAAATCAAATTAAATTAAAAGCAGTAGCTAGACTTACTTTACCATGTCTCTTGAACTCTACAATGGGCCCATTTTAGACGTTGTGAAGCTAGTGGGTAACTTTCCTACCTCCAAGATGGGGTTCCTCTGTGTAGCCCTGGCTGTCCTGGAACTCACTCTGTAGACCAGGCTGGCCTCGAGCTCAGAGATTCACCGGCCTCTGCCTTTGCCTCCGAGCACCAGGATCAAAGGTGTGCGCTGCCACCACCCGGCCTAGTGGGTAGCTTTATAATGGCTGGTAAACATGTCTGTTCTTTGCTCTGGAGGTGATGTAACCTTATCCCTTACGGTTCTTTCCAGCACATACGACCCTGAGCAAAGGCCTGGGTCCAGAGCTTTTGGGATCTTGTTTTCTTGGTTTATCCAGCAAGAAACACCCTGGAATGTGCAGGGCATTTGGCAGATTGCTCTTTTTTGCTTGTCTTTTTGAAATATTTACTTATGCGTGTGACTGTGAATATGTATGTAAGTGCATCCCATGCAAGCGGCGCCCAAGCAGGTTAGAAGGCAACAGATCCCTTGGAACGGAAGTTACAAATGGTTGTCTACCTCTGTGTGGGTGCTGAGAATCGAACCCAGATCCTCTGCAAGAGCAGCCTGTGCTCTTAACTGCCGAGCCATCTCTCCAGCCCTCTTTTTTTCTCTTAAAGATATTTTTCTTTTTATTTATTTTTTTATATGTATGAGTGTTTTGCCCGTGTAAGTGCACCTCATGTATGCAGTACCTATGCAGGCCAGAAGAGGGCACCAGACTCCCTTGGAACTGGAGTTATAGATGGTTGCCAGCTGCCGGGGGAAACCAAAGAATTACCAAATTAGGTTTTTGAGGTTTAAAGTTTAAAGCACAAGCCTGAATGAAGGCCAGACAGGTGGAGACATGTCCAGCCACCTTCAGGGAGGAACCAGCCTTACTGCATTCTTTGCCTGCCCACTAGAGATACAGTTGCTAGGAAACCGGCCTGACCAGACCGTTAATGTTTTGGAGGTCTTCCTATAGCCCATCAATTCAAAATGCAACATCCCCTTTGTGTTTCAACCAATAGACGCTTGCCAGGCAGGAATCCCCTTGCTTTTGGCGTGCTGGGAGGGATCAGAATCTTTAAATCACCACCTGCCCTGAGCATGAGGCATCTTTGCTCTCAACCGCTCTGGTGATGAGGGAGGGTATGATCCCAAGCTATAGCTTGTAATAAAAAGATCCTTGTGTTTTTTACAATGGACTCGACTCCTGGTGGTCTTTTGGGGTCTCGCAAATCTGGCACAACACAGCAGGTGCCAGGCTGAGACCCAGTCAATCGACACATGCCAGCCTGGGCCAGGACTAGCCACAGGCAGAGGTGCGCAGATAAACACGCATTAAATGTCCCCAGGGGACCCACACGTAACATACTTCCCTGGGGACATGACTGTTGGCTGAGGTGCCAAAGGAGAGCTGAGGCTTGCCAATGCTGCCAGTGGCACAGATAGATAGTTGTATGTAGGCTCTACAGTGCTGAAGAGTCAGGCCTGGCAGAGAGGCTAGGCCCAGGCCTTAGGGTTTTATTTCATGAGTATCTGCAGTGAGACTTCTAACTAAACTTTTTTTTTTTTTTTTTTTTTTTTTTTTGGTTTTTTGGGACAGGGTTTCTCTGTGTAGCCTTGGCTGCCCTGGAACACACTCTATAGACCAGAATTGTTGGAGTTGATCTGGATGTATTCAAATGTTAATTGCTCACCCTCAAGATCCTTACAGTTCTACCAGCAAATTTTCATGTTTTCAAACCTTGCCTCCCAAATTATCCCTGATTGGCTAATAAAGTTGCTTACAACCTGGACTGGGCAGAAGAAAGGAGGAGGAGGAGGAGGAAGAGGAGGAGGAGAAGGGGGAGAAGGGGGGAGGACAAAGGGGAGGAGGAAGAGGAGCGAAGGTTCTCAGGCTTGTGGGGTTACAGAAAGACCACAAGGAGGGGGAGGCAGAAGAAAGGAGCAGGTCAGCAGCATGGGGTAACCAGGAGCAGGCGGCCAAGAGCAGCTTGCTTTGAGGATTGGCCTGCTGGAGCAGAAGCAGCCCAGTTAGAACATGTGCAAGCATTTATGGGGGTTTTGACTGGGAAGCCAACAAGATGGCATAGAGAGTTAATTTCTGCCCAGCCCCAGTGCATTAAGGCTCATTAAACACCTAAGAGGTTTCTATGTCTTTTGTTTATAAAATAGAAGATTAAGGAATAATTGCCACTATATTAATCATCAGCCATAATTAATATTAATAGACTAATTAATTCAATTTACATATGCCTCCATAATTGTATAAATCAATATTAAATATTAAAAATCATTCTACACAGGCTGGCCTCAAACCCACAGAGATCGGCTGCTTCTGCCTCCTCAGTGCTGGGAGTAAAGGTGTATGCCATCACTGCCCGGCTAACTGGCTTCTATGAGGCTCTGGTGGGGTACCTGTGAAAGATGGGGTGTTGCAGCCCAGAGACCCCTCAACAGAAGCCACCCTGGCTTCACCTCTGTTACACACTGAGGTTCCCAGGAAGCTTTTCTTCTTTTCTTTATTTTGGTTTTTCGAGACAGGGTTTCTCTGTATAACAGAGCCCTAGCTGTCCTGTACTCCATTTGTAGACCAGGCTGGCCTCTGACTCCCAGAGCTCTGCCTGCCTCTGCCTCTGAGTGCTGGGTTTAAGGCGTGTGGTAGCATGCTGACACCCATGAAGCTTTTCTATGACTGAAAGAATCAGCGGCTAACACAATACCCACAGATCATCTACCACTCACTTTACAGATTTTTTTTTTTTTTGAGTCAAAATTGTCATACACGAAGCTACTGTACATGCTGGGCGTGGCTGTTCAAACCTTTAATCCCAAGCACTTGAGAGAGAGAGAGAGAGGCAGGTAGATCAAGGCCAGCGTGGTCTACATAGCTCTGAGTTCCAGGATGAGCAGAGCTACCTAGTGGAGTTCTCAAACACACAACAAAAGGAAGCTGCTCTACAAGCCAGGAGTGGCGAGGCAGAGGCCCTCACTGAGCTTGTGCGAGACTCTGGGTTCCATCCTTAGCACCAAAGGAAGATGGCTCAGCAGGTAAGGGTGCCTGCCACCTCCAACCCTAGTGACCTGAGTTCGATTCCTGGAACCCACGTGCTGGAAGAGAACTGATTCACACAAGTTGCCCTCTGACCTCCACACGCAGACCGCAGCATGGCACACAAATATAATGAAAGCCTAAGGCGCAATTAATGCAATAGCTTTAAAAAGCTCTCGGGGAATAACCGGCGTAACTTTAGCCGAAGGCACACTCTTCCTGGCGTTTAAAAATCCCCGCCCAAACCTCAACTCTCCCCTTCTTAACCCACGTGTGTCAGGAAGGATCCGCTACCCCTGCAGAGGGTACATGGCGTGGGGGCATGTTAGGGGACTGAGGGTCCTACAGCCACCTCACCCAGAGCTGCCTTCTCCCTCTGCCTGTCCTCAGGTTCCTGGGAATAGACTTTGGGAGCTGTGTCCTCAAAGCCTTGCCTGCACCTCTGGGCCCTGGGGGGCTGAGCTATCTTTTTGAGACGACAGTCATTGCTGTTCACGAAATACGCACGGGAAGAGGCACCTTTAGGACTACAGACCCCATCTATAGCCCACAGGGGAGGGAGGTGGAGAATCCAGGTTGAAAGCTTGAGTCTCACACTCCCAACCTTGCCCTTGGCTTTGAACCCAGCAGCTTCACTTCTCTGAGCCTGGAACTGACTCATGGCCAAACAGGCAACACCCACCTGGCAGGAGGGCTGAGTGCTGGATGCTAGCTGTAGGCAGAATGGGGTTGGGGGGGAGGCAGCTGTCAGAGGGGGCCCTGGAAGCAGGCTAGCGTGCTTACCTTGGCAAGGGGTTCACTGAAATGAAGGCCTGAAATCAGTGTCTGACGAAGAGCAAGAGATCCATGGAGTCAGCCCTCAGTTCTTGGTCATCCCTTTATAAGATGTAACCCTCTGCCTGTTAGTGTCCTGTCCCTGTCCACCTGCCAGAGACCCTGGTCTTGTCTTGGGTTTCCTCCTCTCTGCCTAACATCCTTGGGACCCAGTCACCCCCTAGGTGACTCCCAGCCACCTATTCTGCCCTCCCTCCTGTCATCCGCTGTACCACGTATACAGTGGAGGGATCCAGAAAAAGAGAGCTGGTTGCCAGGGCAACAGAGGATAAAGCCCTTGTACTGTCTGGCTGCTGATTGGCCGAGACAGGTCCCACCTCCTGCCATCCTGAATGTTGGGGGGGGGGTGTGCAGAGGGAAGGGTCTTTGATGGTAAGGAGAGGTACCAGGGTACCAAGCCAGGCCAAGACTGCTGCCTCTCTGCGCACTTAGAGGCCTCCAGGCCAGAGAAGCTCCATCTCCCGTGGGAATATTGGCCCATCGTTCTCTGCCACTAGCTCCCACAGCGGCCACAGATGGCAGTGTCTCTGGGGACAGCAGCTGCGACTGAGTCCACTGGCCGACACCGAGCCACTCAGGCTGAGGGAGTGTGCGAGCTCCGTGCAGAGACCGCAGGGCGGGTATGAGGTGAGTCTGCTGACATGCTTGGGGACACTGAGTGTCGCTCGTGGCTTGGGAGGTAGGCAGCGGGGCTCTGTGACCTTTACACTGTCGGAGGCAGGACCTGAGCTGAAACAGGCTTGGCAACACCCATCCCTGTGCCACTGTGCACAGGGAACCCTGGAGCCCATAGAGGGTGAGGACTGGTCTGAGGTAGGTCACAGAGATGGCTGCGAGCGTCTTCCCCTTCACTTATGTCAGTCCCCTGAGGAACTGGGAAAAGGTCTAGGAGTCCTTTGTTGCCCCATCATGCACAGATTTTTGTCTAGAGTATTGGGGAGGCAGGGGACCCCGAGCTCTGCTCCACAGATCTACAGTTATTGCATGTGAAAGAGACACTGCTCTGCCCCAGACTCTCATTCCCACATTTAAGTTGTGTTCTGTTCTGGGGCCCCTTTCTCTCCCTCCCGCTGCAGCGTCACCACCCAGCAATTCTGAGCTCTTTATTTGGCTCTCTAGAAAGGACGATGTGTGAGAGGATGCGGGGCCGTCACTCTGTCCCCACCTCTGCTGCTCCGGTCTTGCCTCAAGGCAGTACTCCCCTTTACTATGTCCCTCCAGAAATAGGGCACCTCTGGCCAACATCCCCTGGTGGGAGGGGGATCCAGATGGACATAGGACAAGAAGGCACCATTCCTGTAACCTTCCCTCCAGGGTTACAGACCACCTGGGAAGAGGGAGTTCAGGAGGAGCTGGAGTTTGGAGGTCAGAATAATGGCCTTCCTCTTCAACCTGCTCTGGAGGGGATCCTGCCCCTCCCCTCTCCCCCCACCAGGAGCCACAGTGGGTCACTTCCCTTCCTCATGCTTGGGAAGGTTTCCCCCTGTCTTAGAGGACTGGAGACTTAAGACTTGCGGGTGGGATCTAACTCCTTTGCAAAGTAGCTTGTCTTCTTCGCTTCTGTTTTAGCCTCGGTCTATGGACAGCGACACCCAGCCAACACACCCTGGCTAAGCTCTGTGGAAATGCTGTCCCTTGCCAGGCATGCAAGGAGGAGGGGGGAGAGAGGGTCCTCAGACCATGCCAGACCTGAGGAAGGTGGAGGGGCGTGGTAAATAGATCCTGCCTCTTTCCATCCTGAAGAAGGTGATCGGCATTTGGACTTTTGAAGTAGAAATGGAAGTTTGCCCAATTAGCAAGGATGCAAGGAGCACCCCAAGGAAAATAAAAGCAGACACAAAGATGGGGATTGCCCGGCGGCAGGTGACTGTCACTCAGTTCCTTGGGAACACACAGCATGGGGCATGAGGTAGGGAGGCTGGCAGAGAGCAGATGGTGGCTGCATTTGTTACTTTTCTGTTGCTGTGACAAAAATACCATGAGCAGGGGAACTTAGAAAGTAAGCTGGGTTTATAGTCTCAGAAGGCTTAGTGTTCATGATGGTGAAGCAAAGGTGTGATGGCAGGAAAAGCTGGGGGCTCACATTTGGATCCACGAGTAGGGGGGAGAGGGAGAGAGAGAGAGAAGTAACTGAGAGTGGTGTGGGCTTTTGAAAACTCAAAGCTCACCCCAACAAGGCCACACCTCCGAATCCTTCCCAGACAGTTCCACCAACTGGAACCTTCCATTTCATGTAAGTGTTCACATGTATGAGCCCATGTGGATCATGCTCATTCAAGCCACCACAGGGACCGAGTCTAAGGAGTCTGGGGTCACATGACTTTTGTGAAGCACTTTGCTTGCTTCGTGGTCCTGCCTTCTCCTTTCGTGGCTCATTCACAGTAGCACTTGCTAAGGTTGGTGGAGTGCTGGTTATGTGTCCGGCTTGGCCTCGGATGGCACCGTGGGAAAGCCACAGTGTGGGGCTGGGGCTGTATTTTAGTAGAATGCCTGCCTGGCTGCAGGAAGCCCTGGAACTGACACCCCAGTAGTGTGTCAACTACTGGGGTCACACCCCTCTAATCCCTGCACTGGGAGGGTAAAGGCAGGAGGATCAGAAGTTCAAGGTTGTTGTCGACTACAGAGTGAACTTGAGACCAGCCTTGACTGTATAAGACCGTGTCCTAAAACCATCCCCCCTACTCCCCTCCCCATTTTTCAAGATAGAGTTTCTCTGTAGCCCTGGATGTCCTGGAACTCACTCTGTAGACCAGGCTGGCCTTGAATTCAGAGATCCATCTGCCTCTGCTGGGATTATAGGCGTGAGCCACCATGCTGAACTAAAACTTTTCTTTTCTTTAAAATTAAGATTTACTTATTTATACAGTGTTCTGTCTGCATGTGTGCCTGAACACCAGAAAAGGGCACCAGATCTTACTACAGATGGTTGTGAGCCACCATGTGGGTGCTGGGAATTGAACTCAGGACCTTTAGGAAGAGCAGCCAGTGCTCTTAACCTCTGAGCCATCTCAGAGCAGCCAGTGCTCTTAACCTCTGAGCCATCTCTCCAGCCCCTTTTTTAAACGGGACTGATAGGATGGAGTTGGAGTTACTTCCTGCCTTGCCTGGCAGCCGGAATCCGATCTCCAGGACCCATACAGACAATCAACTGCTGATAGTTATCCTCCCACCAACACATTCAGGCACAAGCATGTGCACGTGTTCAAATGCACACACGCACACACACACACGAGCACACACATACACGATAAATAAATTGTAATAAAAAATGTTCAAGGTTAATTTACAAGGTATTTAGGAAGTAAGTCCCATTACAATCTTTCTGTAGGTGAGAAAGGTCAAAGCCTGAGAGCCCCTTAGATAGCACCTAAATGGCAGTGCTATATGCTATGTGAAATCTTACATACGTTGACCACTTAGCAGCCACAGAGCCCTGCCACTCAGGAGCTGGTTTTTGTTTGTTGGTTTTTCCGTTAAGAGAAGCCGTGATCGCGCCTAAGTTATATGGGCCTCATAATTACAAAGCTGAGCAGGGTAGACTATTGATAAAAGACCCCCCCCCCCCACACACACACACGGGCATAGCTCACCAGGCTGCACCAGGAGTAGCTCTTGCTATTGAGAAGGTAGGGTTCATCCCAGCTTCAGGGTGCAGGGGAGACCGAAGGCGGCTCCTCCAGGCGCCCTCTTTCAGCGAGTGCTTAGCACAAACCGGCCTCCCTGTCCCCAACACTCCAACCCCGCAAGGGACTGATCATCAGTGAAATCTCACAACCACCTGTGCTGCGGTGGTTGTCCTGGTTCCTCCTTCCATCCGAGGAAGCGGAGGCCCAGGCTTAGGCCACTTGTGCAAGGGTACAGACGTTAGAGAGGGCCAGGAGCCAGCGCAGCTCTTGGCTGCAAATCTTCCTTGAAGGAGGAAGTAGGAGGCTGAGTGTCCTCATGTGAAGGGGACAGCATGGTGCGGGCTGAAGGAAGGGGGAAGACATGAGGTGCTGAGTCACCCTGAGGTCTTGGTCAGGCCCTGTCCCCCGCTCCCCTAGGTAGGAGTCTCCCCAGCTGTAATATGATGCGGGGTTGGTGGTACCAAGGAGCTTTCTTGTGTCCTCATGACTGTGTCTTGGCAGCCAAGGCGGCCGCGATGCCTCACTTCCTGGATTGGTTCGTGCCTGTCTACCTGGTCATCTCCGTCCTCATCCTGGTGGGCTTCGGAGCGTGCATCTACTATTTCGAGCCTGGCCTGCAGGAGGCGCACAAGTGGCGCATGCAGCGCCCCCTAGTGGACCGTGATTTCCGCAAGACGCTGATGGTGCGGGACAACCTGGCTTTCGGAGGCCCCGAAGTCTAAGACGGCCCGGGATCTTGAGACCCTCCCAGCAGAGGACGACTCCTCGATATTCCCACCCATCCCTGTGTAGCCCAGCAGAGGCCCTTGCTGTTCGGGGAGGCCCCTTTCTCTAGAAACCGGGCGCTTGAATATTTATCTTATTTGCTGCTGTGGGCGCAAAATCTCTGCGTCAAGCCCGTTCAAGCCTTTCCTTCCCAGCTCTGGGGACATCCTCCACCGGCCCTCAGTGCCTTCGGGCTGTCCAGGCCCCTGTCCCTCCACCTGGAGTCAGGTCTGACTGGCCCGCTGACTCCTCAGAATCCCCAGCTGCTTTCTGCTCCCATCGCTGCCTCGAAGCTCACCCGGGAACAGGATTTCATTCGGAAGGATGCCCGCTTGGTCCAGATCAGCCCCGCCCACCTCCGTGGGCTCAGACTTAGAATGAGTGACTGTGCTCGGTGGGTGGGTGCAGGAGGGTAAGACTTTGGGAAGTGTGTGTGTGTGTGTGTGTGTGTGTGTGTGTGTACAGGCAGCAAGTGGGAAGCTATGTGTGTATCTGAGAGAATGGGGGCAGAGCAGGCGGTGGTGGGAATGGGCCAGGTGGGGCAGTGTGAGAATTGTTCACAGCAGGTTCCGTTCCTTCTGCTGGACTCTTCCACCCCATCCCCGTCCACCACCCCGAGGCTGAGGTGGCCCCTCCGGGAGCCCAGGCTGCTTTTCCAGGGCTGAGCCTAGCCCTGCCCGCCCACCCCGAACGTTCCTCCTGTGCCGCTGGGGCTTCATTTACTTTGCTTACGAACCGGCAGCCTTCCTTCCTCACTCTCCTGTGATGAGGCTTCCATCTGCCTTTACTCATCATTAATAAAGGCTTTACCACTGCTCTCTGTGCAGGATTGTTCTTTCTCAAGGTAGGATTGTGTCCATTTGGGCTCCTTGTGAAAATTACAACAGCTTAGCGGTTCCCCGAGTCGGAGATGGTAACACCAAATCTCAGCAAAGGTGAACAGAGATTCTCAACTATCAAGACTGTGGGCCAGACCATTGTTGGCCAGGGGCGGGGCGGGGCGGCGTCCTGTGACAGGCTGGCCTCAGGCTGTGTAAGCACAAGGATTGGAGTTTGGGTCCTCAGCACCCACATAAAATCCGGGTGCAGTGGCATGCATCTGTAACCCTAGAGCTGGACGGAGGGGCTTGGGGGGGGGAACAAGAGAATTCTGGGGCTTCCTGGCCAGCCAACATAACTGAAATGCTGAGCTCTAGATTCACTAAAAGGTCCTGCCTCCAAAACAGTAAGATGGAGAGTGAAGGGGGAGACACCTGATGTTGACCTATGGCCTCCGCTTGTATGGGTGTGTACATCTGTACCTGTGTGTGTGTCTGGAGTAAGGACATCAGGATGGCATTAGAACATTCTCTCTCTATTCCTGAACCTTTTTTTTTTTTTTTTTTTAAATTTTGCATAGGTTTCATAGCTCTATGTGGCTGCCAGTTGCTCTTCCCAGATCCCAGTTCCAGGCTTCCACAGCCTTCGGCACCTTGATGTCTTTTTAAGAAAAAAAAAATTATTTAACTTTCATTATATGTGTAGATGTGTTTTGCCTGCAAGCATTTAATGAATGCACATCACATGTGGTGCAGAGCCTGCAGAGGCCAGGAGACAGTGCTGGATCCCCTGGAGCTGGAGTTAGCTACAGAGGTTGTAAACCAAGTGGGTCCTAGGAATCAAACCCATGTCTTCTGCAAGAGCAGTAAGTGCCCTTAACCGCTGAACCGCTGAGCCATCTCTCCAGCCCCAGCACTTTGATTTCTTTTCTTTTCTTTTTCGAGACAGGGTTTCTCTGTATAGCCTTGGCTGTGCTGGACTCACTCTGTAGACCAGGCTGGAGACTCACAGAGGCTCGAACTCACAGAGATCTGCCTGCCTCTGCCTCCCGAGTGCTGAGATAAAAGGTGTGTGCCACTGTGCCTGACCCGCCCTTTGACTTCAGGGAGCAAGTCTCAGCAGGCAGTACTTTAGTTAATTCCTAACCCGTCACTTCCTTCCAATGTACTCAATAAAGGATCTTCTAGAACAAAAGAGATGAGGAACATGAGGAGGTCTCTTAAAGGTGAGAAAGTCCCGGAAGGTAGACTCTTACTGGTCCCCAAAATGTGTGAGCTCTGGTTGGGATACCCTGACTGGCCTGGCAGCTCTAGTTCCTGGAGCCAGAGGTGAGATGATCCTATTGGTGGCTGTGACTAAGGGGGAAGGGTGCTGGATGAGTGAAGGAGAGGAACTGGGGTTATTGTTTTACAGAGAGGAAACAAGCTTGCAGAATAGAAGGGTCATTTAGTTATTGCCGTTTGGGTGAGGGACTGGAAGTTTGAGGGCGGGTTATGTTGACAGCAATCCACAGATTTTGGTGACCATGAGAGTCAGGGGTTTGGGTAGATGCTGTTGGCAGACAGGATGTGGCAGAGAGGTCAGCAGGTGAGTGGGCTCTATAAGGACCCCTAGAAGGTAAAGACCTTCCCGTGTGTTTCGGATCACCCCACAAAATCATGGGGGCCAGCCCACTTTAGGTACCCAGCCCCACGTTGCCTCAGTTTCTTCTGCAGTGCTAGGCCCTGTCTTTTCCGAGACCCCTTTCCTACCTTTGAGGCTTCACGCGTCACAAAGAATGTCCTTGTGGCATTTTTCTTTTTGTGCTAATCTAAATGGCAAGAGGTGTGAAGCCAAGGCCCGAAGCTCAGTGTTGCCTTTACCAGAAAACTGCCCCAGCCATGTTTCAAGGCAGGGCTGCAAAGGGGCCCAGGCACAAGCCATATGCATGAGTTAGGGGTGGTGGCTTCTGGGGCAGAGACCTGGCTCCCCGCTTGGGCAAGAGAGAAGGTATCAGAGGGCATCGTGAGCTCTGGACCTTCACAGCAAGAAAATCAACAAGGGCTCAGGGTCTCTAGAACCAGGTGGGTCCTGTAGGATGACTCTTCTCCTCCTCCCCTTCCTTCTCCTTTTCTTCTACTTTTTCCTCCTTCTCTTCCTCCTCCTCCTTCTCCTCCTTCTCTTCTTCCTCCTCCTCCTTCTTCTTGTTATTTTGTTTTGTTTTTTTGAGACAGGGCTTCTCTGTGTGTAGCCCTGGCTGTCCTGAAACTCCCTCTGTAGAATAAGCTGGCCTCAAACTTGTGTCACCCTGGCCTGGCCCTGTAGGATTCCCCCCCCCCCTTTATAGATCACACTCAGGGCTTTGCAAGTGCTAGGAAAGGTCTCTACTGCTGAACCACACCGCTGGTCCTCTCTGACAACCTTCTGTTCTTGCTTTCCTATCCCCTCCTTTCTTTCCCTGCATCATCCCACCAGGGTCTCATACAGCCCAGGCTTGTCTTAGACTCACTTTGTAGCTGACACTGGACTTGAACCTCTGATCCTCCTCCTGCCTCCACCTCCCAGTTCCTGGGATAATGGGCATTTGCTACCACAGGCTGGACTTGAACTGCTGATCCTTCTCCTGCCTTTGCCTCCCAGGTGCTGGATCACAGGGATATGCCATCAGGCCTGGTGTTCATGCCAGCACATTTTTTTTTTTTCTTCTGCCAGCTACCTCGGACAGGCTCACCTGTTCCAGGCTCTTGCTGAAGTGCCTCTAGTTCAGGAAAAAAGACTCATTCCTCATCCTAGCTCGTTTTGAACCAATCACCTGAATGTGGGAGCTCCTACCCAAAGATGGGAGGAAAAAGTCCACCCACCCAAATCATCATGGCCGAATTAATTAAAGCAAGCTTTAATCAGTTAAAGCAAGCTTTTTTATTTATGTCCTCAGCTGCCTCCTCCTCAGGCGGGGTTTGAGAGGTCAGCATTGGATGTGAGGAAAACAAGGTTTTTATAGCTCAAGGGTAGGGGGTTTCTGAATGAGGGAAAATAGGTGGGGTTACAGAATCAGAATATAACAGGTGGTCAAAACAAGGTAGTCATAATAAGGTAATTATAGGGGGACATAGAACCTTTAAGGTTGCAAGGTGGTTATAAATATCTTTTAAAGCAAAGACGTGCTGTCGTTTCCTGGAACAGCCAGTACAGAACCGTTTGTAGTTAAGGTTACAGGTGGGGCATGGCCCAATCCTTGAGAGACAGGTTTAATCATAAACAGGAATGAACCTAGCTTGTCTTTATTGTAAGACAGTTTTCAAGCCTAAGATGGAGGCAGGCTGGTTCTTCAGGTCCCCTTGGACTGACAACATGCCAAGGGCTTGAGTTGTCTCAGAACAGGTCGTTTCTCTCAGAATGTCTTGAGGGGATGGCAGGTTCCAGAAAGAACACTAAAACTCTCCCATCCCCCACCCACCCGCCTACCCTGCCTTAGCAAACAGGTCCTCTGGGAGTAGGCTGGGCTTGACCAGCTGAGCCCCAGTGTGGCCTGCAGCTAAGTCTGGTTGGTCCCCGGGCGGCGTTTCGAAAAGCTGCAATTGGTTGTCAGGATTTGCAAGTCAGGAGGTTTCACATTAAAGCCTCATTTCCGACTCCTTTAAAAATAGAATTCGAGCCACTTTGGGTCTGAAGTGTGAAATCCGTGGCTATGAGCATGACACTGTGTTGACTGGGATCTGTCCAGAGTCTCTGAAGTAGCCAGGCCCCCAGAACAGCTGCCTTTGTCCAATGTCCACCAACACGTGTTCGGTAGCCAGGGAGGGTTGGGGAGTCATCAAGCCTTCTGATGGCAGGCCTGGACCTCTTCCCAGTCTCACAGTGGGCCTTGTTACATAAACGTTTTCTCACTTCTGCTCTTTCCAGAAGGAACCTGTGAAGGTTTCAGCTGATCCCTCTCATGCATTCAAGGAGATGCAAATGGTCCTCTACCCACTATGGTTTGACAAATTTCCATCATTAGGACCATGCAAAGACTAGCACATGGCCTGGGATGGGGTGGGTAGCGCTGTTGCTTGGAATGCTCTGTGTGCACAAAGCTTTGCATTCACTATAAGCTACGCATAAAGGTTTACTTCTAATCCCAGTACTTGAAAGGTGAAGGCAGGAGGGGCAAGTGTTCAAGGCCAGTTTGGGCTACATCACAGAGACCCTGTCTCAAGAACAAAATAGAAAGAAACAAAAACAGAACTCCAGTGTATAGTCAGTAGAAAGCATACTTTGAATTTTTGTTTTTGTTGTTTTGTTTAGTTTTGGTTTTGGGCTCTGTGTAGACCTGGCTGGCCTGGAACTCACATTGTTGGCTAGGATGAACTCAGACTCAAGAGATCCCCCCGCCTCTGCCTCCTGAGTGCCAGGATTAAAGGTATGCACCACCACTCCTGAGTAAACTTTCTCTTTTTAAAAAATTTTTATTTTTTTTATAATTTATCCACTTTATATTCTGATTGTAGCCCCTTCTTTATATTCTCCTGGTTCTACCCTTTCTCCCTTTTTCCCCCTTCCCCTCCCTAGTCCACTGAAAGGGGGCATTCGCTTCCCCTATCATCTGACCCTAGCCTACCAAGTCTCATCGGGACTGTCTCGATCCTCTTCTTCTATGGCCTAGTAAGGCCAGGGGGAAGTGATCAAAGAACAGGCAACCAAGTTCATGTCAGAGACAGCCCCTGCCTCCCCTTACTCAGGAACCCACATGGAGACCGAGCTGCCCATGGGCTACATCTGAGCAAGAGGTCTAGGTCCTCTTCATGCACAGCACTTGGTTGGTTCATCAGTCTCTGCAGGCCCTCCCTAGGCCCAGATTTTTTGGCTTTGTTGGTCTCCTTGTGGAGCTCCTGTCCCCTCCAGATTCTTCTATTCATCCCCTTCTTCCATAAGACTCCCTGTGCTCTGCCCAAAGTTTGGCTGTGAGTCTTGGCATCTGCTTTGATTCCCTGCTGGGTGGAGTCTTTCGGAGGATGTCTATGGTAGGCTCCTGTCCTGTTTTTTTGTTTTGTTTTGTTTTGCTTTTTGAGGCAGGGTCTCTCTGTATAGCCCTGGCTATCCTGGCTTAGCTTTGTAGGCCAGGCCGGCCTTAACTCACAGAGATCCTCCTGCCTCTGCTTTCTGGGTGCTGGGATTAAAGGTGTGTGCCGCCGCCACCCCCACCCCCACCCCCCCGGCCAGAGGGTGGCTTTTCAAGTCAGCTCGGACCCAGGAGAACTGCTGAACTTCCAGTTGCCACCTCCTCCCAACCCTGTCAGCAACTTATTCCTGCCCTAGTTTGTATGTGATTTATTGACATGTCATGGAGAATTGTCTTGCCATCGCAGCCAGTAGGACTGGTGTTCAGCATAGACTCCTGCAGGCTTGCCAGGGGCAGCTGTCTTCTCAGAGGCCAAGATTGCAGGGGATTTTTCAAGAAGGTTCTTCGGAGTTCCGGGAGCTGGCAGCGTAGATGGCAGGGTGGGTGTGTCTGGGCTCAGCCCGGAGCTACAGGACAGGAAAGAGAATGGGCAGGGTCCCGACTGGGAATGGCTGCAATGTTCAGATTCCAGCTGCGAGGGCAGCACAAGCTTTTCTCTGTTCCTCCCCCACTCGTCTCTGCTCTGTCTGAGCTCAGGGGCCGGAAGAGGCCAAAAGACCAGCTCAGAGAGAAGAGTAGAGGTTGTCAGTGCCCTCAAAAGGTGGCCACCGGGTGTTGGGCATGGTGGTACACTCCTTTAATCCCAGAACTCAGGAAGCAGAGGCAGGTGGGTTTCTGAGTTCAAGTCCAGCCTGGTCTACAGAGCAAGTTTCAGGACAGCCAGGGCTTCACAGAGAAACCGTGTCTCAAAAACAGACAGAAAGATGGAGAATGACTAAGAAAGGCTTCCATCACTGACCTCTGACCTCTCCATGCAGGCTCACATCAGTGCATGTGCAACACGCGCATACATACACATACATGAACAGGTACACATGAAGGCCACCGTCTCAGCTAACAATCTCTCCAGAGGACTTAGGTAGGCAGACCTTCTCCCCCTCACTCATCAGAACCGGAAGAGTGGAGACCCGAGCGTCCAGCCAATGCTTCACTGTGCGGCTGTGGCAAGTCCATTTCCCTTTTTGGTTTTGTGGCTCTGAACAGCTTTCCACAGGTTCATGGAAGTCAAAACAAATAATAGGGGGTGAATAGATGAGAAAATAGAAATTCCGAGGCCATAACAGTGTATGTGTGTGTGTGTGTGTGTGTGTGTGTCTGAATTCAGGATCTCACACGTGTTAGGTTATGCAACCCACCACCAAGCTAACCCTAGCCACAGAGGCATCGGCTTCCATGGCTCACGTGGAGTGTGTGCAGGGCACATGAACAGCGCCACCAGAGACACAGAGCTCCCTGAGACCATTCTTACAGCGACCTGAAAATGGGTCCACACCACTGCCCTGCTCACCAAATATCCACATTGCTGGCTCCCCAGCTCTCTGTAGGCGGTAGAATGTTGTCTTCCTGCTTTCTTGTAGAGGGTGGATCATCCAGCGACTTCTGGCCAATGGGTTCTAATTAGGTCAAAGCCCTCAGTGGCTGGCAAGGGATTCGCTAGTCTCTTGCAGTTTGTCCTAATCACTGGCAAAATCACTGGAGGACTCTCTCAGGTCCCAGATCGAAGACGACGTGGAACCTAGTTGGTCCATAGTGTCGTGGACGGGAGGCATGGTGGAGAAACCTGTCCTTGGTGTTACGAGCCCCTAGGGTTTTGGAATGCTTAGCGCAGAGAGACAAGAGACGCTCGGAATCACGTGGCTGCAGAGAGCACAGGTTTGCGAGATCTCGTAGCACGTGCCCCGTTGTCAGGGAGTCCGCCGTAATGATTGGTGGACACTCGTGGTCCTTGGAGGGAGGACACTTTTGTAAACTTCTCGGTCTTCCATGGGAAAGCGCACAGACGCAAAGGAGGACGTTATCGCTTTTGGCCACTAGAGGGCGGCAGGACCCAGGCTTGTCCTTGCTGGACAGGCAGTGACCTCTGCCCAGCGCAGATTCTGAAACCGTGGGTGGGCCGCAGTCACAAGTGAGGGCGGGGGTGGAAACTGGGCAGCGGCAAAAGGTTTCTGAACGCACAACAACAAAATCAATTCAAAATCAAAACTGAAACGAACCCGCGGTGTTTCTGCTAACTCCTGTGTGTTAGCCACTCTCATGGCTACCTTGGTGCAAACTTGGTTTGACCCGCGCGCGCATGCGTGTACACACACACACACGCACACACACACACACACACCACCACCACCACCACCACCACCACCACCACCACCACCACCACCACCAACGAATGCTTTCACTGCTATCACAGACGGAAATCGAAGTCAGCGGAGGAGCTGAAGTTCAAGGTCATTCTTGGAAGTTTAGGGCCAATTTGGTACACGCGAGACCCCACCTAAGAGCATCGCTGTCGGCAGGCAGTTTCATCAGAATCGTGAAGGGAAATTTGGTTGGGAGCGGGGGAAAATTTCCTAACAATTTCTGAACACACTCCTTGTTGTTCTTATTTTGATTCGTGCGGAATGGCATTCTGGGCACCGTCAACTATAAAATTAAAATATCCATCCATTCTAAAAAAAAAAAAAAAAAAAAGATTTAGTTCTTTATGTAAAAACAAGCATGTCCATCTCATTAGTATGCAAACTTGCTTTTGTGTTTAACAAATGGTAAAAGTTTATGTGTACCAAATAATTGTTTAAAAATAAATTTCTTTTTCAAATTAATGTTATTTATTTATTTATTTACATTTTTGTAGTTCTGGGGACTAAACTCAGGATCTTAATTGTGATAGCCCAGAATTCCGTCGCTACACTAAATTTCCAGGCACAATGAATTTCTTTGAATTATTATTATTGAGTTATAGAACTATATTATATACCTGTATTCATGATGTTTAGTACAAAAATCTTGGCTACTGAAGATGGAAAAATTATGAAAACTTGCTTAGAGCCAGTCAACTGTAAAAGCATCTTTTATTCTCCCAAGGTAATTGTCATCTTAGAGTCTTACCGCCTCTGTCTGCTAACTTAGACCTAGTCCTGGAAGCTTTTAGCCTCCACATACTATTATCTAGATCTAGAATGTTTTCAGCCTTTGAGATTTACTGCTGAATTAGCTTGCCCTTTCTAGCTCTTTCTGAACCTTGGCTGGCTGGTTCAACTCAGCTGTTCTGGCTTAAATGCCTCTCCAAGCTGATGGATTCACTCTGGCTTCTCTCAGCTTCTCACTAAATTGCTCTGCTTGGCCTCACACTAACTCTGGCAATCTGTTCTAACCTTCTGGCTCCTTCTCATTCTCTGGTTCAGTCTGTCTTCACAAATGTGTCTAGCTTGTTCTCTCTTCAACCTCTCTCTGTAAAACTCTGCCGGTAAAAACTGCCTCTGAATTGCTGGAACGGAAGTACCACAAACTCAGCTCAACTGCATTGCCTCTCAGTTCACTGACTCAGCCGAAATGACCAAACAGAACTGACTAGATTTGCACACCTCTGTCTTCTGAGTGCTGGGATTAAAAGCGTGTACCACCATGCCTGGACCTAAAGCTCTTCTTTACCTGAAACTTGTTCAAGGCTGGCCTTGAACTCAGAAATTTGCTTGCGTCTTGTCTCCTGAGATTAAAAGTGTGCCCCTGTTCCAGCCAGATCACACAGACCTAGAAGGTCTTTGGATGTGATCTCTTGCCAGAGCAGCCTTGTTCTGAATTAAAATTTCTCTACAGTTGACATTAGAGGGAGAGGAGGGAGGCAGATCAGCAGGTGGAAGTCAGAGAGGCCTTGCACTGAACGGAGGGAGGAGGGTGGATTCTAGATCCTCCGGGCTGGAAGAAATCACAGGAGGGCAGCTAATCTCTATCTGAAAAGACAGCTGGACAATTGGACACTTTTTTTTTTTTTAAACTTCTGGTTTTTGAGATACACATTTTCTGTGTAGTCAGGGCTATCCTGGAACTCTCTCTGTAGGCTGGCCTTAATGCAGAGATCTGCCTCCCTTTGCTTTCCAAATGCTGGGATTAAGGGTGTGGTCAGGCCAGGAGAACCCAGGGTCCCTCGTGACAGCCTAGGCTGCTTGATTTCCGGGAGGTGATGTGACAGAGTAGGGATGGGTCCTACAGAGCCTGCTCCCTGACTGTCTAGACAGATTTTGTGTCCTTCCTGAGTCACTTTTTCTTTTTCCCCTCAGGGCCTCAAAACGTGTAAGGAGGGGGAAGGGGCCCTGCCTGAGGAGGAAGAACTCGGGCAGCGCCCCTCCCCCCTCCCACTGTGATTTCTTTCAGGTTGCCTGGTAACCAGAGCATAGCCAGCTTTGGAAACCTAAAGCTGAAAGGGAAGAGGATGGCTAAGAGAGGAGAGGATCCCAGGCTCCTCTGTTCACCATCCAGTCACTGTGCAGGAACACACGGGGTGACTCTGGTCAGGCCCTGGGACCCTGAGAAGAATAAGATCCGTGCTCTTCGGATCTGTGCTGTCCAAGATGGTAGACACACATTCAAACGAAATAAAAAATAAAAATGTCAGGTCCTCGTTTATCATAGAGTAATGGTGGGTGCTTAGGGGCCACCTGTAGCTATCGGCTATTTTATTGGGTAGTGGAGATATAGAACATTTCCATTATCACAGAAAATTCTATTGGCCAGGCCAGAAGCTCACTCACCAGGGAGCTCAGCACACAGAAAAGCGGGCCAGACCCCACAGGGCTGTGGGGTTACAGCGTCCTCAACCGGCAGAAAGCAAGCGGTGAGGTGCCGGGAGAATGTTTTCCTTAGCTCCTGGCTCAGAGCAAGTGTTGGGGGGATGTTCATGTCATGCGCCCTCTGGCCAAAGTTGTGAGGATCGGCTTACGCACCTGCCTTCCGGAGCAGACTCTTGAGTCACCCCAGCCTGGCTCAGAGTAAGTACCCAGACAAGGGTGGCTCTCCCCCTGCCCCGTCCTTATTCCACCGCTGTGTGACAGCACAGCCCAGTGCTGAGGAACGCAGGGCAGGACTGCTGAGAATCTGCCTGAGCAGAGACAGCTTGAGGAGGCTTGTTGATCCCTTTGAGATCTGCCCAGGGCCGGCTCTCTTCATACCCTGAGTCTTGGCGTACAGGATCTGTCTGGAGCAAGCCGGATCTCAGAGAATGGGTTTGAAGGGCACAGATGCATACTCAGAAATTCCAACCTGAGGAAAGACCTCAGGAGCATGGACCACAGATGGCTCCAGGGTCAGCAAACTTGTAGGGGGGTTGCAGAGGGAAAGCAAGAGGGAGGTTGGCATGGGGGCAACATGATGTTGTCATTGATGGAGTAACTGTTCTTTCTTACCAGTGATACCTCTCAAGGGGCCAGTCTTGGAGACAAGAACTCATGGGTAGGTGCCACCCCAGGCCGTCCCCTCCCTAGGTGGCCCCTGTGTTTAAGGCAGCTCAGCTGACTGACTCCCATAGCTCTGTGGGATTCCAGAGACTCAGAGCAGCCATTCACTGCCACCCACTCTCGATTTGCTTCTCTGCCCAGAGGGCGCAGCCCAGCCCGGCTGTTGTGGATGGAGTCAGGGGGACCCGTCCGGAGGGAGTGGGGACTGTGACCGGGAGGCTGAGGGAAAGCCCACGAGAGGACCCAGAGAAAAGAGGTTTTCGAGCCAGGCCACATGGCCAGCTTCTGGGTGCAGAGGAAGGGGCGAGGGCTGCAATTGGTCTAGCTTCTCTGACTGAAAACCACCTGCCTCTTTCCGGTCTTCTGATCAAGGTAGGTGTGCTTGAATTCGTGCACAGGCATGGGCGCACTAGTACATCGGGTGGGGGAGGACCAGGGTGTACATGGCACAGGTGGCTCAGTGAGGAGGCAGGGATCTGGTGACAGAGAGGTCTCAGAAGTCCCTGTCCTTGGGCTTGTGGCTAAGGGCAATGTGAACATGGCGTGTCCAGGTCCACGTGGCTGGGAGAGTGGGCAAGGGGTCAGAGTTGCAGGGATTTGCCAAATGGAGAAGGGGCAAAGGCTGGGCAGCCTGGATGCAAATGCGTGGCTGGAGATGAGGGGCTGAGGACATCCCTTAAGGCCTAATGAGGTCCCCGTGCTCCCTGCTTCTCCTGTTTCCTGTTCTAAACTTCAGAAAGAGGGGGGGTTTACACAGCACTGTCCTCTGCCAGCCCGTCACACTCAGATACCTCCTCACCATCCTGGCCCGGCTCCCCCATCAGCAGCCCATAGTGTTGAAAGTAATGGAACTGACTTTGTCACCTGGGGTCCCCGGAGACCAGGTTGGGGAGCACGCTTCATCTACGCAAACACACCCTTCTCTCTCAACTCCCTGCCCTCCAGGCAGCCCTTTCCAACCCCATCCCTGGGCCCACTACCCATCCCGGAGCCCTTCTGTCATCCCCCACAGATCTCCTAACTCTCGGTTCCATTCCCAACAACCCCCCTTCCAACCTGCCTTTGAGTGGTGGCCCCTAACAGCAGAGTGGACCATTCGGGACCTAACAGCTTTGCAGCCCCGCCTGGCCCCTCCCTGTTGGCCCTCAGCCGTATCTCCACCCCACCACACACAGCCTGGAGAGCCCCGTGCAGGATTTTCAGAAGAAGGGTTGTTGGTGGGTTGTCCATAGGGAGCTGCCCAATACAGGTTCCTTCAGCTGACCTCCATCCTGATTCAGGGTTCCCCCAAATGTCTCTCCTCACCACTAGTCCCGTTCAGGGGCTCCTTCCTGGTTTGGTGCGGGATCCTCTGGTTTAGGTGCTTGTCCTCAGGCCACCTGGCCACCCATCATCCTGTGGCTCAGACACCTGGGTTCTTCTTTGTTTGGGTTGTTGTGGTTGGCTCCGGGAAGAGAGGCAGACTGCTTTCCACCAGGGTCTTTGAATAACCGTGTAAACCTCCACAGAGCTGTCCAGGGAGAACGGCCACACTCAGACCCAAGAAAAGAGAGGTCTAAAGCCCATATCCCGGGTTCTCTCATGACAGGGGCAAGTTGCTCATAGGCAGTGCCTATATTGTGGCTGCTGGAGGGCAGGTGTATCAGGTGTGTGTGTCCAGATGGACGCTGCTGAGCTATAGGAAAGCACTCCTCTAGGGATGCAACAGGCCTCCAAATAACGGTCCTTCAGCCTCGCAGCGCCACCTGCTGATTGGGAGGAGGAGAGCTGGGCTCTCATCCTTGTCTGCCCTCCTTCTCTTGTGATTGCCTCAGGGGAAGCTGGACAGCTTGGATGGACCACGACTTTGTACCTGCTCCTCCGGAGAAGCAGCCGCACAGGGCTCCAGGCCCAGGCCCCAGAACTCCCTTCTCTCGAAGCCACATGCTGGGCCGCCATACCCACCAAAAGCCTCCTGGAGATGTGTCCCCCCTCATCCCTGTCATCAAGAAGAGTGTCCATTTGGATGCCTTCCCCCAGAGCAATGTCCCACAGAAGTCTAACCAACCAAGCACTAGATCCAGGGCCTGGAGTATGTCCCAACATGGCACTTCCACGGGGCCCCTGAGTTCTCTGCCTCCCAATAGCTGTATGCCCAGGAAACTCAGCTCTGTTTCCTTAATGATTCGCCAGAATGTCCAGACAGGATCCCGAGAGGCCTCGGTTCCTCACTGGGAAGAGATGTCCAATGTGGGTAAGGAGGCTGCCTCCCAGAGAGAAGGGAAGCTGTGCTCGTTAAGGTCGCCACTCGTGAACCAGGTGTCAGAGGTCGGGACCTCCTCTGGAGGCCATGAGAACCCAGACCTTACCAAACCCAACAGGACACCCCCAGGGGAGAAGCCCCTGGTGTCTTCATGTCTGGCTTTACCGTTCCCAGCTCGGGTCACTCAGAGTTCATCAAGCCTTCCAGGGGCAGGCCCTGTGGGGCAAATCTACACCAGAATCTCCCCAGGAAGAGGCAAGCCCAGGCCCAGGGGTATTCCCAGGTCCCGAGCAAACCTCCAGAGGGCCACCCCTGCTACAGGTTTATCATCCGTGGGCAGAAACTTAGGCACAGCGGCCATCCACAGACCTGAGTTAGCTTTCAGCATGTCTCCACCGAGCCCACCCAGACTGGGCAGAGGCACAGAGCTTCCTATTCTAGATGCCAAGATGCACGCGGTCATGGACATACCTACAGCATCCAAGTCAAGAAAAGCCACCGACTCGGTTATAGCAGGCCGGCCCAGGTTAGGCACAGCCACAAACCTAACTAGAGCCGGGACAACCAAGCCAGGCCAGGTTATGAGTTTGGTAACTTCAGACTCCGACAACCTGGAAAATGTCATGCTTACAGCCACGGAGGGCTCAAGCCCAGCTTTGTCACTATCAGATGAGGTCAATCTTGGCATCACCAGGTTGGACAGAGTCACAGATTTGGCTGGAGGCAATGTAGGCAAGCTGGACACAACCACACATTCTCCTGCGTCGGACCCCAGCAGACTGGGCAGGGCTGTGGATTCAGCTGTGTTGCTCTGCCCAGACACAGCCACTGGGGAGACCAACCTAGATGCTGTCAGTAATCTGACCATCCCAGGCACTGCCACCTACCTTCTAATGCCAAGCAGAAGCACAGACCTAGCCCAGGACTATGCCACTGTGGACGGTGTCACAGACAGTGCCATGGAGCCTGTCTGGCTGGACCTGGCTGGAGAACACAGAGGTAAATACAAGAACTTGGGGGAGGGGGAGGTCCTGCTGCTGGGGGAGTCAGGCTGCATCGGTCTCAACAGGTTGTGAAAGAGACTGGGGGCTCTAAGGTCAGAATCGAATGGGTGGCAGAAAAGGGGGCAGGGGCCGAGGGGCTGGAGACAGGGAGAAATGAGCTGACCTCCTGGAAGCTGGGCTGAGGGAGGCCATCAAAGACCAAAACCTGTGCTTGTTTCTCAGTTCTCTGAAAAGTCAGAATAATTGGATGATTTATAGGTGAGTCCAGCTTGAAGGAAAGCCTATCCGGGTTTGAGGCCCACCTGGTCCACAGAGCGAGTTCCAGGGCAGCCAAGACCCTGTCTCAACCTCCGTGCCCCACCCCCGATCCCAACGAATGGAACACGGACAAGCTCTTCAGTAAGCTGTGATTTCTCTAACAGTAGTCTGGCATCCAAGTGCTTCTGTGGGTGGGAGACAGTGACCTTGTCTGAGACCTAGATCAAATCACAGACAGCTTTGTAGGAGACCTGCTACTTAAAACATACATCAGTGAACCGTTCGTAAATCTTACACAGATCTATAAACAAGTCAGCCAGAACTTCTATAAGCAGGGCTAGAAATTCTATGGATGTTTCAAGAGAGGTTGGTGCGTACCTGAAGTCACCCCAGAGTTAGGAGGTGGCCGTACTTTGATCGGAAACCCGACCTGGCCGTTCCACCATGAGCAATCTCAACATTTCCAAAGCTCAGACTCTGGGCCCGGAAAAAAGCCTGGAAGGTATCCAGCCCAGTGCTTGAACTGAGTCCTCGGCGGCGAGTCAGAGCCTTCCTCACTCACCCCTGCCCACGGCCTCATCTTCACCCTTTGCTGTGCCCTCCATCTTTAGTCCAGCTCTCCCTCCTGGCACACAGAGAGCCACATCGCCTGGGTGTCTCCATGTCCAGAGGCAGGGAGCCTTTTTCTTCTAGACCCAGCTGCTGCCCTCCCCCTCTCTCAGCTGCAGGAACCACGGGTGATCAGACCCCAAGGTTACCAGGTAACCAGTCTTTTCTTCTACATCCTTTTCCTCTACATCCCATTCAGTCTTATCCCCAATCTGATTTATGTACTTCTTCTGTACTTTGACCACGTGGCTGTGACCCCCATCCCCCCACCCCATCCTTTTTTTTTTTTTAAACAATGCCTCTATGTAGGCATTGTCCTGGAACTAACTGTAACTATGTAGACTAGGCTGGTCTCGACTCACAGAGATCCACCTGCCCCTGCCTCAGTTCTGTATCCCGCTTCTTCCCTCCTCCACAAAGCTGCCACAGGGCCTCAGCTCTTTGCTGGCAGACGTTTGTAAAGTCTCACCATTCCCAGCCCTGAAGTCCACCGCTCAGCCTGCCTCTCCACCCTCTGGGGCAGCCCTCGCCTGTCCTCTCTCTTGCCTCCTCCCAGGTCCACGTTCTTCGTCATCACCCACACGGCGCCCTGGCCGCGTTGCCCTTCTCCGGAAAACTCCCCTTTATTCTTGTTCTCTTGTCTCCTTTCCGCATCGGCCCTCACCTGTTTCCAAATCTCCCATCACCTCCACGGTTCCTGTCTTGCACTCCAGCGGAACCTGTGTGAGCTCGCTTTCTGTTTTCTCTGTTAGACCCCCAAAGCTTTAAGGTCAAGAAGGTTCTCGGTCATCCTTCGCCCTGTGCTCCCAGGGTTGACCAACCGGCCGTCGCCAATGCAGCAAAGATTTTGTGGGTGGGTAAGGGAGAGTTCCTGAGTAGTTCAAGGTTATAGGGTTCAGCACCCAGGCGGAGGAGAGCCTGGAACCCGTTTTCCTGAGTCCGTGAGCAATCGCCTGGGCAGCGCCGCGGCGAGCCAGCGCACTCTCCCCACCACCGCGTGACTCACGCACGCGCACGGTCGCCAGCAACTACCCCCACCCCCCGGTCTCCGGCGCCCCGGACCCGGTGAGAGGCTGGGGACGGGATGTAGGGAGAAAGCCAGGGGCTGCGATGCAGGCAGCTTTCCCGGCCGCGCATCCCGAGCCCCGGTACCCGCCCCGGCGGGAGCCTCGGGAAGGGGAGGGCCCCTCGGTGGAGCCGCGCGGGTCACGTGGTGCCGGTGGCAGCGGCGGCCTCGGTGCGCGCGGGCAGGGGCGGCGCGGCGCCGAGCGAGCCAGCGAGCGAGCGAGCGAGCGG